TAAAGAGTGTTAATTTTTTAAAGGAAGATGCTAGTTGTACTTAATGACGGCTAGACAGCTAGACCAGCCGTACTTGAGGACGGCTAGACTGACAGGCTAGGAGATCTACATTTTTTAAATTTTTTAATATATTTTTTGGGGGGAGGGGGGGTAAATGTTTAACGGCGCTCGCAACTGCATACAGTAATATTATGAGCGCGTGGGACACATTAACCATTTTCAGTTGGTAGGAAATTTTGAACTTTGCCCGGGTGGCGACCGAAGCCTACTCTTCGATTTTTAGACTACAAAGGGATCTTTCACGTTCGCAACTTGCACACGGGACCTCCGAGACTTTTCGCCCTTGTCCGAGAAGACTAGGTGTTGATCTTTCCTACCAGAAGATTAGGGATGTGGCTGAAAGACAACAGTAAGAAGGAGCCAAGGAGTAGCAGTAGAACGGCTGCAGAAAGAGTCATGAGGAGCCTAGAGGAGGGGGCAAAGGAGGTGAGGGGGTGGGAGCAGAAAACGGAGACGAAAGCAGACGACAGAACATTGCTGGAAAGCAGGAAAGGGGGCGAAAGGAGACAGTTTTAGAGAAGAAAATGTTTCCGTTACTACCCAGATTCGAACCTGGGACCTTTAACTTTAATAGATAGCATTTGTATATCGCAAATTCCCGCTCAACAGCAAGCTCTATGCGCTTCACAATCTATACTATTACCCCAGCAGACCTGAGAGCATTCTGAAACAAACTCAACTTCCAGGGAAGCATACAGTGCAAGCAGCCATTTATTATAGGTGCCAAAACACTAACTAAAACGTACTGACACGATCTTTCGCTGTCTATGGCCGGGTACCCATTTCCACTTGGGTGAAGTGAGAAAAAATCGTGTAAAGTGCCTTTCCCAAGGACACAACGTCGGGCCCGCGGCTCGAACCCCCGACCCCGCAACCTCACGATTACGAGACCGGTAGCCAATAACCACTAGGCCACTGACGCCACCATTGAATGAGAGGCGAACACCTTAACCTCTTGGCCACGAGAGCCCCCGTCTGTAATTACTTAATGATGGCTAGACTGACAAAAGGCAAAAAATACTGAATAAATAAAATGTTAGTGTGTAATTTTTGGGGGTATTTGAGACGAAACCAAAACGCCTAACTGACATGCATTTTAAACCCGAATAATTACTAATGAGACCTGTGTACTCAACATTTTTCTTTGCAAACACCAATTCAATATGTCGAAGATATATATAATAAAAAATCAAATTGCTCTCGTTTGGTCCGCATTTCTTCATGAATTTTGCTGATTTCTCACTAAACTGTCCCCAAATTCTGGACACGTTTTACTATACTGTTCATTGTTCGTTGATGGGTGGACATTATTGGCATTATTGAGGAACAATTGACACAATTTATTGTATATCCATCTGTATGATATATCTCACAATTCTTAGTTGAAAATGGAGAATGTTGAAAGTTTATTTGGAAACAAATTCATTCAAAATGATAAAGAAACAATGAACTATGGTCATCTTAAGAACGGCTATACTGACAGGCTAGATCGTAAAAAAAATATACACTTGAACTTAATGATGGCCAGACTGACAAAAAGCAACACAAAAAAACAACTGATTTTAAAATTTAAAAACCGTTAGTTTGTTATTGTGTAGACCTATGCCAAGTCAAGATCGAAATGAACATTCAAGCTTGGCTTTGCGCCCACAGCTTGTGACCTTTGATACGACGAGGGCCAAAACAGGTTTCAGTCAACATCAAGGATCTCCTTGGTCAACATGCAGGGCCTCATGTACAAAGCCAGGACATTTAAGCGTACGTGTGGATTCCTTGGCTGGCGGCCACTTCGTTGGAAAAAAAAAAGATTAAGACAGCGACAAGGATTCGAACTCCTCTCGACTCAGCAATTGGCTTTGATCACTTGTAGTGAAGTTGGGTGCATGTATACAGACTTAGGCCTTTAATTCTACTTTTTTTTGTACAAGTTTATGGGTACGGGACAAGCACCTGTTGATATTGAATGATTATATAATTATAAGCAGCAAAAGTAGCGACAGTACTGGTAGTAGTTACTGTGCTGTACGTAGTTGTGGTAGTACTGAGCGGTATAGTAGCAGCAGCAGTCAGCAGAAGGAGAAGAAGAAGAAGAACAACAAGAGGTAGAAGAACAAGAAGAAGTAGCAGCAGTAGTATTTCTTTTTTGTTGGTGGGTTTTTTGTCATTGTTGGGGGGGTTTTCCCTGGGTTTCTTTTTTAGGGAGTGGGATAGCAACGTCGCAGAGCTTGAAAAGCGGACCGATTCTGAACAAAAGTGTACAGGGGAAAAGCAGCAAAAGACTAGTGGAACTTTACCTGCACACTTATTATAATTATTTTTCTTAATTTGTCTCCCGATGCAGCCATAATAAAAAGCTGTAAACATGAAAAGACTGACTGCATGGATACAATAAAGACAACAGGATGAATTATAACCTCTTGAATTTGGACACAGTAGGTGTCTCATACATGAATAACATTTTGAAAAAAACGTTTATTATGTGCACGTAGGCCTAATGTCTTTGTACTTACAAAGTAGCCCGAGCTGATTCTAGCGCAGAGGCAGATCAAATAAAATCATCAACGAGAGTCAGATCAAATAAAATCACACTCAAGAGACAGATCAAATAAAATAATCACTCGTTAGCCTTTCATTTCATTAGCACAAGCTTATTTCTCGTATTTTCGGGCCGAAGCACTTCCGAAACGTGAGTTCTTTTGGAAATCCCAGCTTTTCATAAAAAGTTATAATTAATTTCATAGAGCATTGAAAAATCAGTCACCGATCGTCATAAAAAGCATCTTCTCAGAGATCAAAGACGAAACCTTTGTGCTACGAAGCCTGTTTTTAATTTAGCTTTTTTTGCTTGAAGTTATGAAAAATGTGGTGTACTCACAGAATTCTACACACATCCATACACCTTTTTGAGCCTTTATAAGCACATGTAGTCCTACTTTAATTATGTTTTTGTTTTTGAAAGCATTTTCAATTCCTTTCACTTTCACTTCCCACGCGCGGCACATATAATTATGATTATAATTTAAGATTCCAAATCTGACGAATGTATTATTAAATAGCGTATAATGCTGAGTTAGCCAATGCATTGCAATGCGCACTATTATCAATTGATCGAATTGTAACAAGACTTCAATTTGATCCGTAACAAGAGGCCACTTATTTTTTATACGTGTTCATGAATGTGTGTTTGTTTACTGTGTGCGGGGATTAAAAATTAAAGATTAAAGATTCCAGATCTGACGAATGTATTTATAAAATAGCGTAATAGTGCTGGGTTAGCCGATGCCTTGCGATACTTGCTTTTATCAATTAATTGATTTGTAACAGGACTTCGATTTGATCCGTAACAAGACAACACTTATTTTTTCTTATACGTGTTTAAAAATGTGTGTTTGTTTACTGTGTGCGGGCATTAAAGATTCCAGGTCTGACGAATGTATTTATTAAATAGCATATAGGCCTATAGGGCAGGGGTGTCCAACGCATTGCGATACGCACTTTTATCAATTGATCGAATTGTAACAAGACTTCAATTTGATCCGTAACAAGAGGCCACTTATTTTTTATACGTGTTCATGAATGTGTGTTTGTTTACTGTGTGCGGGGATTAAAAATTAAAGATTAAAGATTCCAGATCTGACGAATGTATTTATAAAATAGCGTAATAGTGCTGGGTTAGCCAATCAAGGCCAATGCCTTGCGATACGCGCTTTTATCAATTAATTGAATTGTAACAGGACTTCGATTTGATCCGTAACAAGACAAAACTTATTTTTTCTTATACGTGTTCAAAAATGTGTGTTTGTTTACTGTGTGCGGGCATTAAAGATTCCAGGTCTGACGAATGTATTTATTAAATAGCATATAGGCCTATAGGGCAGGGGTGTCCAACGCATTGCGATACGCACTTTTATCAATTAATCGAATTGAAACAGGACTTCAATTTGATCCGTAACAACAGACCACTTATTTTTTCTTGTTCGTGTTCCAAAATATGTGTTTGTTTACTGTGTGCGGGGATTACAGGGGGACAAGCCCATCCCCTCGACATGTGATCCAGAGTATGGGGATACATTTTTCTCAAAATGCACACAGCTCTGAAATCCTTGACCAGTGATCACTCGCCATGGAACTCTTTCTGTTGTGACTGTAGACACAAGTTTCTTCATTATCACATCTGAATGAGCCTCTCATTCATGCATTAGAAATCACACTCCCAACACACAGAAAATGACTTTGAACATATATTCAGGAAACATATGCCAGTTCCACTCTTGACTTGTTTACTTTGTTTTGCATTATTGGCTTTTATGTGTAAAACAATATTTAGAGGCCTTTTCTGCATTTTTGTGTTTTTGGCAGCATGTACAATAGGCCTATGTATTTTATGTGCAACCGACACATTCTCCAATCGTAGATCTAGTACTAATCAAGACTATATCTAGATACTTTTCCAACAGAGTTAATGTTCATAATTAGTGTTATTATCAAGTGTATTGTGATTGTGAAGATCTTTAGTAGATCTAGATCTAGTAGTAGATCTAGAGATCTAGATCTATCTAGATCTAGATCCCATCCCATCCCATCATTAAAAAAACAACAACAAACCAACAATACAGATACAAAAACATTGTAACATTGCCAATTATGACATATTGTTGGCAGTAAAAATGTACTAGACTATTTCACTATATTTCCTCTTCGAAGAAAGTTTTAAAATACTGATGTAACTTAATGTAAGGTGTCTTCCAAGCCCTACCACTAGCATCAGCGTGCATAGCAACGCGAAGCCTCGCTGTGCGGCGCAGCCAAAGGTGCCCTCAACTGGCCGCCATGTTTTAGTTTCAATTCCTCACAGCGAATCGGCGATCGCGAAGAGGGAGTTCCGCTTCTATAAGTGTAGAATTCTGTGGGTGTACTTTAGATATTCTTCACGGCTGAAGAGCTCTAAAGATTCTAAAATATGGACGCCGCAACCAGCTCGGCGCTGAGACGTCAGTGGTATGTTGAATGAAAAACAACAAAATAATAATAATTTTTACACATTAAAAAAAAAAAACTAGTCAAGTCACATAATGTGTGAAATTGATCTGAACGTTTAAATGTTTCGTGTTGATTTGAAGTAAAATGAAACATGTCTAACTAAGGCAAGGACTGGATGAGACAATGATTCAGACTCAGAGTCAGAGGAGAGTAAAGAGTTCCGGCGAGAGAGTTGAATTAAGAGCAAAGCCAGCGTCTCGTAATCGTAGATTCTAGATCTAGTTGGCAGTAGCAGTGGTGGATCTTGACTTACACTGACCTGGACTGGACTGCTCTGACAGTCATTGCAGTGGTTGACAAGTGACTTGAAGAGCTGTTAGTACTCACTGCATCATTGCAACCTGGCAAGACTGTCCCGACTGTCCGCGAGTCACAATACACCGGAAGTTCCCCCCCGGTAGCGAGCGGGAGGTAAAGCAAAGCACAAGCCTGGTCGCACCTCTGGCGCAAGCCGTCCGCTGCTCGCAAGCCTTCGATTAATCGAGCAGGCTCCAGCTTTACTCTGAAATGTTTAACTGCAGAACAGTGCAGTCAAGTGTAGATCTAGATCTGGATCTAGATCTAGATCTGGTAAGTGTAGTGACAGTAGTGTAGCAGTGCCTTGGTCAGCTTTCCTTGACTAGGAGACTGCAGTACTTGTCCAGTACCTACCTGGGTTAGTGGTTACCCCCAACCTCAGCCTCACTCAAGACAATGCTCTTTGACTTTGAGTCTTTGTCTTTGACGTCTTTGTACTTTTTTTGTGCCAACTCAGTGTGCAGTGTATAGTAAAAAAAAAAGCGAAATCGGAAATGCATCATTATCTTTGCCTGTTATACTTCATCACTGATCATCGGTCAGTATGATCAGTCACCTAGTTTTTGCATTTTCTTATCAATCTTCGTCATAAATGTGTTAAGATAAAACATAAGGTGGCTCTGGCAAATTTTACCAGTCATTTCGTCACACGGTCATTTTGTCACACCGGTGCAGTCAAGTCGTCACAGTCATCTCGTCACACCCCAAACCCACAAAGTTGAATAGAGACCGTCATTTCGTAGCACACTTGCAAACACCAAATGTGCATTGTCATTGCAATCACTAATCACGATTTTTCGGGGAGGGTTGGGGCTGTGTGTGAAGGACGGGGGGGGCTGTTTGAGTCTATCCGATCAGCTACACCGTTCATGAATTGACAATATTGAAATTTATCCAGTCAGATCAACCAAGTTTTTAGGTATTATTGTTGATGAATGTAGCAATGCCAATCGGGCCTTCCCGCGCGGCGAAAATTTGATCCCCGTTAGCGGGCGATTTTGCTGACCCGCCGAAGCGTAGATGACTAACTTTGTCAACCTCGGTCTGCTCTATTTCCGAACCAATCCGAATGAAATTCGGCAACCAATCAGAAAATAGGGCAAACTAATGATATGTGGACGTTGAAGTTCGTACACATAAATTAACCTATAGATACTTTTGGTGTCAGAAACACTTTCGTATCGGGTACACCGAAAACTATAAGGAGTTTGAATTTCAACGCCGAGATAGTAATAGACCTCTATCTATCCTCTATAGTGTGCTCAAATTTGAACGTTCTGTGTCAAGTAGTTGTTAGACCCGATCGTAAATCTACGACTAACCCCCTATCCAAAGCGGCTTCGCACGGAGACCGGCCATTTTCCCCTCACTCTCGCGGCAAATGTATGTGACCTACAAATCCCCGCATGACTATTCCGGGCCCGTTCATTGGTCACTTGAAATGGGGCAATGGCGGGCGCGCGCATCCGGTTGTTTTTCTCTCTATTCCCCTGTAACATCGCAATGGGGGTATTCCGAGGCAAGGTTATCTCGTCTCGGGGTGTTCGCGTCTCAACGAGGAAAAAGAATTTTTAATTGTACGGCATGCTAGATTGAATTAACTTAAATCTTTTACGGTTGGCAAGGTCTAAAGTCATCATAAAAAGCTTTGCAATTATTTAGTCACGCTGCCGACATATATTCTTCAAGATCCCATGTTGTGATACGATGCTATAAATAAAACGGACTCATCCCGACACCTCTTTTTCGCAAAATCATAATATATACACCGAAATTTTAATTATAACAAATTTTAAACTACGAAATGGGTAGTAAATCTGACTGCAGAAATGATTTCTACACCCGAAAACACATCGGGTAGCCAAGTTTCTCTCTAACACTCCGATTAGTTACCGAGATATCGTCGATTTTCTTACAGAATCTGCTACTTCGTGGTCCACTTTTTAGGAGTATTTTCCTATATATGGGTCATCCATATTTTGCCGACCTTTACAACCCCATAACTTTTTTATTTATGAACCGATTCTTAAAATTCAAGAAGCATAATTCTTAGAATTGAAAATTCTTTCTTAGGTACCAAATAAAAAAGGGCTAAAGTGAAAATTTAAATTTTCGTTGGCATTGCTAATGAATGAAATGTGTGATTGGCAAGATCATGATTTAGTTCTGTAAAAAATAAATTAGCTATATTTATGATACAAAGATATGACTGTTTTAAACCTCTATAGCAGAACAATTTTGGAGAGATAATATATACATATAAGCGAAGTCATTTCGTCACACATAATTGTTATGTGACGAGATGACCGTGTGACGAAATTATGGGTTACCGCTCTGGCTATTAATGAGGGTTTCAATTTATGATATTTTTTTATAATAACGAAAAAGACTATTTTTGTTTTTATCATTGAAGATTTTGATTTTCAAGTTCCCGCATTGGTATTCTGACAAGAAATAAAGACAAAGATTTACTTACTTATTGTGGCAAATAAATCCAATTTTCAACACACTACTCATAAAATTATGTTTCTTGTCTACAGGTGTGTTTTATGATAAACTTAACATCAGGAGAGGAATCTTCGGTTTAGCTCTCACTGAAACATGGAACCTGAAATCCGCCACCCACGCCCTGAAGCTGGAAATGCTGAAGATCCAGCCAAGGACAATCAGGCTATTGATGCTGTAATCAGCAAAGTCAAATCTCAGGGAATGTTTGATCAGTTCAGAAAGGAGTGTCTTGCTGATGTTGACACGAAGGTACTTGATTATATTATTATAATTTTTCCTTTAACACTTTGCCACCTCATCTCGCCAATTGGCGATGTTTACCACTCAGTCTCTTTGGATTTTCTAAAAAATGATGGCAAAGTGTTAATAATAAATGACATATAGTGTGGTAAACAGCATTCTCACTGTACTGAGGGATTTGCCTAATTTCATACTGGATAAAAAAATAAATATCATTGTCATGGTACACGGCGCGCCGGCAGTGGAATTTTATTAGTAGCGGGGGGTTCCCCGCCGGGCGCCTTATCACGTCAGGGTCACGGGGGTCAGCTCCCTGTCGCCGCTCTGTCTGGGCCGACTTAATTTTTGGTACTTTTCAACGTACAATTTAAGGTGTATCCTTGTATTTATGGTAATTCTCATTTAGTGCACCCAAAGCATGCATTTCTGCTCTTGAGACTCAAAAACGAACGGACGTTGTAACTTGTCTGGTTATTTCGTTAGACGCGCTGGAGTCGGCAATGCTAAATTGTAATTTTTTTGGGACAAGCGTGAATGAAAAAAAAATCTATATTAAAAAAAGGCCTCCTCAAAATCTGACGAACTTTTGGAACGTGAACGACAAAGCATTGTTGCAGATACTCAGAAAAGATGGTATCTGCGCATATAATAGAAAGTTGTAATTTTGCAACTTTATCCATCCTGCACTCAATTCGCTATGAAGTAATTCCTCCAAATACAACTTTATGTGTCTAATATAATCGTGAATATTCGCATATTTTCTTGAAAGTTTATAAAAGTTACCATGAAGTTTCTCTATGAAAAGTACAAATCGATTTTAATTCTAGAATACATCTTCAATGTAGATCTAATACACGAACAGTATCTGTTACACTCCAGAAATTCCTTACTTTTTAAAAAACGCTAAGTCTAGGTTTTGTAAGTTGACTGAATAATAGGGGTGACTTCTCATAATTGGGTTAAATCGGGGACACGGAATCAGCACCAGACTTTTCCAGCTTTATTTTTCGCTTCTATGACCATTTGCAATAACTGACAATGTGACTGATATTTTTTTACATTTATTTCCGTGCATATTTCCAACACAAAAACTAAGAATGAATGTGTTAGCTGTCATTATTTTTATTCCATACAAGAAGTTTATCTCTACCCATGCATCATGTATTTACATGGTTTTATGTTTTTTTTTAATCGCTTAGATTCTATATTATATCTTTTTAGTTGTATGCAGGCTGCCACAGACACGGCATGATTCATGAACAAACGCAGAGTAACGTTCTCTTGTTTAATAGTAAAATAAGAGCTAACGCTAATCGTCTTTAGTTTAAAAATGCAGATATGTGCACCTTTCTTCTCTTATAACTTGACTATTTCTACTCGCGCAGATTTAAGATTTCTCATGGTAAAAGACATGATATTCGTAGTCAGTATAACACAAATTTTGGATAGATCTGTCGTGCCTTTTTTAAATTAACAATCATTTATTCATAAGTTTGTAACTAAAATAGGACAAATTGGGTACTCTACAAACACTTGTCTAGAACAATAACTAAGTCAGAGAAATTAACCATTCTAACGCAGAATAAATCTCAAGACATTGAGCTTTTAGTACATCCTCGTAATGGTTTGCTATGTGGGATGGAGAAGAAGTTATATTGTTTTAAACATAGTCAAAAATGCGAACTTCCTAACCGACACCGGCAAAGTCTCTTCAGGGCTCATTAACCCCGTGACCCCGAGCCGGAGAGCTCCGGTGGGCTGCTGAGCCACGCTAACTAAAAATAACAGAATCGGGCGAAAAGTGACGCCGTGGGTAATACTTTCTTGTTTTGCACGGGGGTAGGACTTACGCCAGTTCATTGTAACACCTCTTTTTGTAATTTTTGCAATAATGGTTGCTTTAAACACCAACAGTGAAATTACAGTATAGCATATTTTTCAGTGAGATAAGAAATGAAAAATTATAAAATGTCTTCACCATGTAAAGAATGGTATAATGACAAAGGTGTATTTTAATGCGACTGAGCAACTTTGTATAGCTTTTTTGTCATACTTTCAGCTAATTGATGTAGCAGGGAGTAAGCAGTACAAACGTGCACATTGCTTTCCACAGCTTCTAATTTTGGAATTGCAAAGTTTGTTGAAATTGACAAGTGAACGTGTACATGTTTAGATAAACCATTGATTTTACCTAAATTTTTGCTTTTATGTTTTATTTTGTTTCTCCAGCCTGCCTATCACAACTTGATTCAACGTGTTGAGAAGTTTGTAGAGCATTTCTTACATGGCCAGAAATGGAGTTCCAGTGTCAACAAAAATCAGCTGAGAGAGACCCTGAGACGCCAGTTAAACAAGTAGGAAGAATTTTATGTGTACTTGAATTACTTTTGGTCATCTGTGCAATACAATATGTCTTTTGTGCAATGTTTGCCTCACTGGCCATTGCGAAAGCCACATGTTCTCTTTACCCTTATAATTACTTCTATTTTACTTAGAAATATTTTTCTGTGCAGATGCATTGATCAATGTCAGACATTGATGGACAAACTGTTATTATTATTATCATTGTTATTATTATTATTATTATTTTTATATTTATTGCAATATTGCTGTGATTGTAGTAATCTCTGTCTGCTTGTGATTACTGCCTGTATGTAAAAAGACTAAGTTTTGTGGAATAGGCAAATAGAGTTTTTAGTTATATATTTTTTCTTTCATTGTTTATAATAGTTTCACACTGAATTCAATTTTTATAGACTTGTTTGCTCTTGAGTTAATCACGTTGATCGTATAATGGAAATAGATATGTTTTTAATTAGGTTGTTTTTTTATACTAAAAGCATATCTCAGCAGGTGGGTGGCTGTTGTTTTCTGTACAGTGGCGTCGGTGGCCTAGTGGTTAGGCTCTCGGACTCGCAACCGTAAGGTCGTGGGTTCGAATCCTGTCAAGGGCCCGACGTTGTGTCCTTGGGAAAGGCACTTTACACGAATTTTCCTCACTTCACCCAGGTGGGAATGGGTACCCGGCTATAGACAGCGAAAGATCTTGTCAGTTTGTTAGTGTTTGAGCGCTTAATCGGCTGCTTGCACTGTATGCTTCCCGGGAAGCTGAGAATGTTTCGGAGTGTTCTATTGTCTGCTGGGGTAATAATATAGTGTAAAGCGTATAGAGCCTGCTGCTGAGCGGGGATATGCACTAAACAAATGCTATCTATTATTATTATTATTACAGTTGTTTGGTTCCTGCTCTTGTATAGCCTACTGCTTGTATTTCTTGTCAGTGTTAGTATTATGGTAATCTGTTTTTGGTTAAGTGTGACCATCGTCATTGCAACTTGCTATAAGCTACAATTCTATTACATCAGTCGTTCCCTACAGTATGCCCTACAGCTTTATATGATAATCTAGCTCTTTCTGTTTCAAAAGTCTAAAAATGATGCAATGTTTTTCAGCTCTGGAATGATGAACAATGGCATTGAGAGGATCATTGAACAAGTGGTCAATCCAAAAATTCTCTTGGTGAGTCCATGAAGTCCTTTTTTTGGTCTGGTTATCGAAACAGAAAAGGAACTATTTTTAAAGCGGACTTTTCAGGCCTTTCTTTCTATGGTTTTTATAAGTAGAGCAATGAGTGTTTGCAGATGGATAAAAGAGAGTGCACTGAATTCACCATGCTGGTTTTATTTGGCTGTAACAATATGTACTCAAAGCAAGTCTGCAAATTTAAATTTGTCTTTTAAATTAGCTTACACATAAACAAAATTTTTTGGACTATTCTGTTGTTGTTGATCATATGTTCGTCAAAATCTTTGTTTTTTAAAATCAACTATTACCATTGATACTTGTGTTTTCTATGAAAAGGAATTTACATAAGGATGCCTGTTAAATCATCATATAAGTTCTACATTACATCTACACTTTCTATTGGTCTGTCTGCTGAAAATGATAGAGGTAGGCCTTCAACATTTTTATTAGCAGCCAATAACCTCTCATTCACATAAGCTCTTTCCTTCTCCTTGTTTTTTTTACGCAAGTTTGTTTTTTTGGACACCCAAAAATTTCTGTTAAATGTTACTGCAGGATCTTTTCTAAAAAATGAGAACACAATAGACCTGATAGAATGTTGTATTCCACAGGGCATCAAGCCGAGGATTGACGAAGCAGTCTGCAAGCACCTGGGCATTGACCTCAAGGCTCGTCAAGAGGAACAGCAGAGAAGAAAACAAGAACAGCAAAAGTTGTTGGAGCAGCAGCAACAGCTGCAGCAGCAACATCTGCAGAGTTTGATGAACCAAACTGTGAAGAAAGGTAACTGCACGTTTGAGGCCTGATTTACGTATTGTTGTGGATTGTTCCTTCTTTGTTGAGGATGGGATGAAGGCCAAAACCAAATCTGCCACTTTGTCGAATGCAATCTATGCGTATTTTGGTTCTCTTAGTATTATGCCCCCAATTATTTCTCTTTCCCTCAGCCAAAGTGTGTTATTTCCTTTTGTTTTCCAGAATTAGACCTTTCCTGAAATAAATTCAAATATGTATTTTTATAATAAATTGCAGTTGTTCCTTTTGTCTCCATGAAAAGGAATTTATTGTTTTGAGCAACTTGATTTGTGAAATTGCTTTTCTTTGTGGTCCTTGTAAAAAATTAACACTTAATAGACAAATATTTGATTTTTCCCAAGATTGATTGTACTGAATTAGACTTTTATTTTCTCTGTTTTGTGTTCTGTATAAATGCATGCTCTTTATTTTAAAATTTAAAGATCTCCTTTTTTGTCATCTGTTTTGATAGAGCCATTTTCTTTGGTATATATTTTTTTCTTCTGAGAGTGACAGTTGTAGGCTCCTCTACCATCAGTTTGCAAGGGAGGAGTTGAAGATGCTATCCCAATGATACTTACTTTCTTGTCACTGCATGCTTTCTTCCTCAATATTTTCAATAATTTCTTATATTCTCCTCTCCATTTTCCTCCCTCACCTCCCCTCTTTCCTCCTCCATATTCTTCTCATCCTCCTTCGCCTCTCTTTTAATTTTCTGGTGCTTAGTTGAAACCTGACTTCTATCCTTGTCTAGACTCACCATTTTTTTTTGCTGTCTTACAATGAAATTATGTTTTCACTTTTTCTTTTCCAGGTGAAGACTTTGAGGTTGCTGGAGGGATGATTCCCCCTACTCCTGGCACCCCCTGGCCTCCTCCTGTCGGACTGGGGGGTTTCCCCGGTCCTCCCATCAGCGGCGCAGGCAATCCCAATGCGGGCACACCAGGTCTTCCGCGAGCCCCTGGTCCCCCCATACCCCCACACCCTATGGGGCCATTTGGGGGAATGATGCACCCATTCCCTATGATGGGTGGCTGGCCCCCTGTACCAGGGATGGAAGGTTTCAATCAGACGATGCCACCAATGATCCCAGGACACCCTATGATTCCTCCACTGCGCAGTGGTATTTCCTCCACAACCCCGCCCGGAGTTAACGCCTTCAGCTCAACAGCTTCCCCTAACCCAGTCTCCATTAACAATTCCTTCAGCAGCCCTCCTGTGCCCACCCAGACCACCTCCACATCAGTGATCCCGGACCTGAGCAGACCCCCGCCGGGCCTCCCTGCTCCCGTCGGGCCCGGCTCTGGCAAGGCTAGTGTGGGTGGAGTCTCCCCGGTGGTCCCGGGTCGGTCAGTGCAGTCGAGTCCCGTTGCTCCCCCTGGCGTGATGGTCACCTCCGTCAGCAGCATACGTCCCCCTCCACCAGGGTCTGTCCCTCCCCCGCCTGGCACTGTCCCCATCATGCCTCCTATGACGTCACCGTCATCCTCAGGGGTGCGACCAGCTGTTCCCACGACCCCTACTATCCCAGCTCTCATTTCCCATACGTTGTCAAAAGTTTCTGAGGATGAACTGACTCCTGAGAAAATTGCTGTCTTCAAAACGGCTGCTGCATTTATCACTAAGACTGTCAGCAATGCACAAGGCACTCCAGGGGTGGATCTGGCTTCGATGTTCTCACCTCGTGTGCTAGCTGAAGCAATGATGGAAGAGTCCGGAAAGCCTTTATCAAAGCATGAAATCCGAGCAGCAAGACGCAAAGAAAGACTGAAAGAGATTGAGAGAATCAAAGCTGAGAGAGAAAAGGAGAATAAAGATCATGACAAAACGAGAGAGCTGGAGAAAGATGACAGGGAGGATCCTCTCCCCCCTACACACAATTTAATGGATGTATTTCAAGGTGCCGAGGACGTATCTGATGATGAGGAAGCTCTGGACATGCTTATGGATGCCGATGAGGAAGAGGACCGGCATAAACAAGGTGTGGTCTTGTCAGACGACTCTGACAAAGATGGAGAAGACCAACCTCCCACTAGTCAACCAGGAAAAAGGTATGAGAACTTTTCTTTACTCGTTGCATATTTTTCTCTCTGGCACAAACGCTTTTCAGATTGCTTTTTCTTGTTCTTCTCATTTCTCATGAAAGCACAACTAGGACAAAGAATGTTGTTCATCTTCTGTCTAATAGTTGTCTTTCCAAGTTAAGACTAATGTACTGAGTGATTACTCATCCAAAACATGTTCATGAAAAGATGGTGTTATGATAAGGCTGACATATAGAAATGTGTTCGGAGATTTACCCTGATGCAAGACTTGTTCATCAGGGATTATCTTCTTGAAAAGTCCACTGTGCTCATCTTTTGATGATTGTATTCATAAATCTCTGGAGATGTTCCTTTGGAATGAGAAGATTGCTTCTTCCAAACACTAGGAGGATTCCTCCTGAAAAGTCATAACTGAACTGTGCTCTGATCGTAATCAGCAATGTCGTGCAAGAAACATCCAAAACAGTAACTAGTGCTGCAAAAGAGCGTTTTTGCCCTTTTTGACAAAAATTTGGCATATATTTTCAAAAGACTCTACTAAATATTATGGATTATTCGCTACATGTGAGTATAATGTGTAAGCATTTTCTGGTTTTGTGGGAGCAAAGTCATAGTGATATATTTCTTGATCATGAGATCTTCCGAATAAGTACCTACCTACACAAATTTGTCTTTTAACTTTTACAACTAATATGTTTGAGAAATGTCTTTTACATTTTTATTCTTTAGTGTGCCTCTAGTATTTCTTTTATTGAATGTATGATTTCAACTAAAATTAATGAAAATCTTTTTTAACCTGCCTGTCTGTTGTCACTGTTGTGTAACATATTTAACTGCTTTCATTCTTTATTATATCTTCAGTTGAATTTCTACATAGCGTTTTATCTGACATTTTATTTGCTTTTATTATGGGGGGAGGAGAGGGGCATAACAGTAGGCCTGAAGCTTAAAATAGGAAGGAAACCTGATCTCTGTTCTTGTGTGATAACTTTGTGAAGTTGATGCTTTTCTTTTCCAGTCAAAGCTACAACAATATGGGAATGCCCTTGTGAGACGGGAAAACCTGCCAAATTTTTATTGTGCCTCTCTGACTGATTCAAACCTAATCTAAAGAGCATTGAGCTTTCTGCGGATGGATGTCTCAATTATTCTCTCCATTGCTTAAATAGCTTGTTATATGCTTTTGTTAAACGAGTTTTATTTTGTTTTTGTTTTTCCTTTCCATTGTAAATGATTTGAGAGAAGGTATGATTATGATTACAAGTTTCTTATATTTTGTTTCTTGTGCTGTACTGTATTTGGGATTTTTTCTCCCCTCCCCGCTGAGGTTTACTTGCATTTTCTGACTGAATAATCAGATGGTCACTGTTCGACATTGGTTTCTTTGTCAGACTACGGTGGTGGAATTTGAATTTTACTTGATCTTGGTTGTTAATGTCAGTTCAGTCTCTTGAAGTCGATTCAAAGATTATTCTAGTTGTTGCTTTTTGGGGCATGAAGTTTTTTAACTGGAAATTAAAAGTTCTTCTGAATGAACCCCTCTTGTTAGTGTTTTTAGACTGCATTTCAAATTGGTTTAAATGTTGAGATTACTGTGCTTTGAATTTGTTTGTTTCTAGGAGCAAAACTTGTTCTTCTCTATAAGAATATCTTGAATGGTTCAGTTTTCATTTTAAATTTTGTTTTTCATTTAAGATTATGGCTAAAAATATAAGACTAACAAAAATGAAAAGGACTTTGTGCAGAAGGGGAAGCTATCAAATGCCAATTGTCTTTTCAGACTTTTTCAGGCATTTTGAGACACACATTTTGGATGATCTAGAATATCCCTTTCGGCTTAATTAAGATAAAATTAATTGAGCAGCACTATTTGTAGTGAAAACTCTTAGTTTATAACGTTGAAATATAATTTTTACTCAGACTGAAAAAGCTTTATTGATTCCTCTGAAGCACGGAATATAAGAATTGATATGATGCAGGGGCTCCCTTGGTGTTTTGAATTTATTGCTGCTTTCTCCAGCATTAGATGAAACAGAAACATTTGGTTTAATTAGGTTTAATTAGTCCAAAAGAGAACTATTTACTCAGTATATTTGTTATGCCTTTTGATATCTAGCAGTCTGACGACGACCCTCTTGAGAACATTCATTTCAGATTTTGAAGAAAATAATTATAAGTTCTTGACTTCACTGGGAGCCATGTTTCATGTAACGTATATACTTATTTAGATCTCATCCAGAATTTTTCCTGGTTAATGTCTGCTATTTCTTTATACTTAAACGATTCCCAGGGGATTTTTTGTTAATCATTGGTAGACATTATAACATTAAAAATTCATAGATACTTTGTTTTCTTTAATGGATCAAGTAATGAAGTTTGATTTCTGAACAGCTGCTGCATAAACATTCATTCATTATTCATATTCATACTACTTATCCTCATCAATAGGAATTTTAGTTTTGAAATGCTGAAATTTAGAATGGGTTTTCCTATTTACTAAGGTATTGATATATTTGTAAAAATAAAACTTTGTATTTGTTTAGGAAGCAGCTCAATAATTTTTACGTTCATTATATCTACATCAAACAAAGCTATAGCTTTTACCACTGAGATGGGAAAATCTCACTTTAATAGTCGCTATTTTACAAGCGCAAAATGTCAGTCTGCTGCGTAAAATTTCAAGTCATTGCTGAACAATTGATCTACCATACTACTATTTGAGGATATTTATTCTGGTACGAAATAATAACTGTTTACATTTTGTAAAGCTGTTGGCTTAGTACTAGTATAACAGAAGTTGTGTGGTAAAGAGAAGGAGATAAAGTGCTGAGTTTTCTGTGCAAAATTTATACATGAGAGATTTAACACAGTGAACATTTATTTGATGAGAAGATTTGATTATCCATGCAAGCCTTGTGCAAACATCAATAATCAAGTTTTTGATTCAAATAAGTTACCATTACACTGTACCACAAATGGTGTATCTATTTATACTGCAAACCATACAGAAACAAGTGAGCAAACAAAGAGAAGAGAATGGTTACAAGAAGTTGTTATGTATGAGGACATGTGTAGTTTATCACCTTTGATACAACCTTCTATCTCATTTGAGTAAAATAAAAGTTTTCTGACATAATCAGCATGAAACCAAGACATGTTGAAAGTGCTCTCTATATTTTGTCCTTCCAAGAAACAAGACTTTGTGGCATTCGTTGGCTGATCCAGCTTAAGACTTCTTTGACAACGTTGACGTCTTTTTAAAGATATACAGTTTACAGTGCAGAATTTTTACTATGGCTTCTTTTGTTTTTCTTTGTCTCTCTATTGCTTTCAGAATAAATATATATCACTATGTAACAGCTCAATTTGGCCTTTTATGTCATCCCAACACAGGTATAATTTTGCCTGGGATGTGGACAAAGACATGGATGCCATGTCGGATGTCACAGTGAGTTCTATACACACTAGTGACATCTCCTCTTTTGAAGAAGAGGAAGATTCAGAACAAGAAGAGAAGAGTGAGAAGGAGGAAGGGCTCGTGTCTGATCAAAGTGATGTGGAGGAAGAGAAGAACAAACAAGATTCCTCATTTGGTACTCCTGAAACAACAGCATCCAGGGATGTTGAAGGTTTGGCTTCAAGATCTTTTTCATTTAGCAATTTGTTGAAAAATTACTTTTTACTTATAAATTTTTATTTCTTAAGGATTAGTTTTTCTAGAAGAGTCCCTCAAATTACTGAAAAAGAAGTTGTTTTTAACATGTTGAAGTTGTGGATTCATGGCATATTTTAGCATTGTATGTGAAAGGAATATTATTATATTAAAAATGAAAACTTAAAAACTTAAGTATGGAAGTTCTAATAAAAGTTGTTTTTCTTTGTTTTATATTGAAAATTAGGATAGATATGGGTCTCTTTGTTTATATATTTTCCCATATTTAGGCATGCCCATATTTGTCTAATGTTTATCCATATAAATATGTGTGTCTTTGATATTTGTCCCTCTTTATATGTGTTTGATTGTCTGTGATGTTTGTCCTTCTATGTGTATTCTTGATTGTCTTTGACGTGGGTGGTTGGTGGGTGCTCTGGTGTGGTTTGCTTCTTCTTTCCTATGAAACATCTATCGTCTTTATCTCCCCTTCTTCTTTTTCATGTTTGTTACTCTCTTGTAACACCTCTAATCTTCTGGCGCTCATATGCCCTTATATGCAGTTGCGAACGCCGTAAAACCTCTACTAAATCTAAAATCTGATTGTCTTTGACGTTTGTCCCTCTATGTTTCTGCTTGATTGTCTCTGATATTTGTTCTACTATGTGTGTGTTTCATTGGCTTTGAAATTTGTTCTTGTGTGAGCTTATTCAATTAATTCTTGTGTTTGTCAAAATATGTGCTTGATTTATGTCACTTTGTCTGCTGATTTGTTTACGTGTATCTTTGTCTCTGCTGTTTGAACATGTGTATTTGTGTAACGTCTTTCCAATGTTTATTTATGGTGTGTGCTTGATTGTCTTTGATGAATTTCATTGTTTCTAATGTTAACCCCAATCAGATGGTGAAAACGCCGAGTCAGACGCTGGCAAATCAGCGAATTCCATCTTCAATGTTGAGGCCCAGGACTCAGAGGTGGAAAAGAAAGCCAGTGATCATGAGAGTCTTTTTGCCCCGGATGTTGTTCCTCTAATTCCTCCGATCGCTCCTCGTGAGTTTGAGATGTTGTTATTTTTTAAGTTATTACTTTAGTTGTTATTATTTGAGTGATCCTTCGATGAATTGTTTGAGTTGTTCTGAGTACTTGGTTTAGTTTTCATTTGTGCTCTTGTTTTAGTAGGTCGTTGTTCAAGTTATTATGTGAGCTATTGTGCAAGCTTATGTTTGAATTATTTTTCAGTTGTTGCTTTGTGTTTTCTAATTCTTTGATTTTGTTGTTTGAGTCCGTATTTAATTTGATATAATTTGAGTTATCGTTCTTCTAATTGGTGTTATTATTTGACATTCTGTTTTACTTATTACTGTGTGAGATACTGAGTTTTTGTTTTAGTTATGAACAAGTTATGACTGAGAGTTATATTTTGATGTGTTTGAGTTGTTACGTGAGATGTTATTTAGATCAATAAAATACCTTATGAATCAGCTGCTTTATCACTGCTGAAGCTCACAGATCACCTTTATGTTTTGGCAGGCGGCGCTAGTAAGCCCAGCCGACCGAGTCGCTCCCAGGCATCAGAGGGTGCAAAGCCAAGGAAGCTGATCTCCCTGTCCTACAAGTACAGTGACAGCGAAGATGAAGAGTCGAGAGAGGAAAGAAAAGCCAGAATTGTAAGTCATCTCTTCACACTTTCTCCAACTCCACATAGGCCGGAGTATGTATAATGGCTGGGGGGGGGGGGGGGGGGTCCCCTTTCAAAAGAGGCCAAAAGAAGGGAGAAATGGTTTGTAATGAGAGAGGAGACATTCAGCTTTATTTGTTTTGAATTTTATTTTAGTCAGTTGTAAGATTTCTGTTCAGTAATATTGAGTTGTGATTAAGAGAGAGGTAAAAAAAAAAAAAATACTTTTGATAGTTTGGTTGCAGACAAATTGGGTTGTTTTTTTTAACAGAAAAAGTTATATTTTCAACATTCAGTCAAACTAAATTTTGTTTTAAGACCTTTGGAGCGTCATTTTGTCTTTAAGCCAGGCCCATATCAATGTTGGTTTGTTTTTTGGGGGGTATGAAATCAGGCTTAGATAATGAAACAAACTCAGTTGTAGAGTCTGGACATTTTTCTAACTTCTGTCAGATCTGCTTTTTTGATGAATGTGGTGTCTTTACCTGAGACATAGATTGAGAAAATTTACTCGAGAGAAAGACTAGCGTCTGTCTGTTCCCATCTCCTCAGGCAAAGGAGAAGGAGGAGCGCTATCTGAAGCGCCAGCAACGTCGTTTGGAGCTGGAGGCCAAGAAAAAGGAGAGGGAGGAGGAGAAAGCTCGTCTCAAAGAAGAGAAGAAGAAACAAAAGGAGAGTCTGTCACTCTCAGAATCCCAGGAGGGAGGCGAGCCAGTAGCAGGTGATGTGAAGGCTTTGCAAAGTGTACCCATGTAAACATGTGTGGATTTTAGTTACTGTCTTAAATGTGTCAGGATATGGTGGAATCAGGTGCTCATCAATTTTTGGGCATATGGAGTGATTGGTATAATTTTAAAGCTTGCCCATTTGTCTATCTGTCGATGAAAAAAAATACCAGTCTATCTTGAATAAAAGTCAAGATATTTCCAATTGAACAAGGTGGTGTCACCTGCTTTCAGAGGTAAAGTAGCGAGAAAATGGCAGCAAAAGTTTGGTGATTTCCATAGCTTGAGAGTCTTTGGAAACTGAATGTGTTGAGCCAAAAAAGAAAAATGTGATAAAAATTGGCGGAAAATGCAGATATCTTCTATTTTATTGTTTCACGAGCTCCTGATTTCACCACGATGCCTCACAAATGTTTTCAAAATATATTCACATGTTAATGAATGTTTAATTTGTATTCCAGAAACGCCAGCAGCAGAAGTTTCAGACACTCCATCGTCTACAGTTGTGGATTCCCCTACAAAGTCTACCCCCAGGAAACGTAAGAATAAAGCAGAGATGAAAGAGCAACTGCATCAACAGAAGGTGAGCTGATTGAGGAGTGCTTAGTGGAACAAATGTTGAATGAGGGGTGAAACCACATTCAGAGTCTGTGATAATCAGGTTCATGAGTTGTTAATCCAGCAACCTGAGGGGGTATTCCCTTTGCCTGAATGCCTTTTTGAAGAGGGTGGAAGTCCTTTATCTTTCCCCAGTTTAACCTGGTCCCTGCTTAAGTGTTGGGACTGCATACACTGGGGTTGGAGAACTGGATTTCCTGTGGTTGGGTCTCTGTAAGAGCAGTTTACTTTATATCAATTGTAATTTACACCCCATCGACAAATTTAGATCAAATAGGAGGTAAGCTTTTTTAAAGTACCTCTTTCTATCCTCCCTCAGGCATCATTGTCACCCATGGGTCATTATTTTATCTTAAAATAAACAAGGAAGTCAAGGGGCTGGAGTTGAGTTGTGTGACTTAAAATCCATCTTAGAAGCCAGCCCACCTATGAACCTGCACTTTCAGCGTTCTGATGTTCTTAGGCAAAGACTACTGTACGTCTGAAAAGTGAAATGGATATGGAAAGGGAATGCGACTTTCTCAGAAGATATTTGATGGAGAATGAGATGAATAGAGTGGAGTTTGAGATGAGGTGAAAGACAAATAGGATTACTAAAGCAGTTTTACATGATGATATGATAAAGAAAGTAGCAATACTGTCTTGGAATGCAAAGAAAATGAACTAATTTTTATGATCCAGCAGAGGGCTACTTCCTATAATTGAAGGACAGTCAGTCTAAGAGAAAGATAAAAGCTGAATTTTTTCAGACCACAAAGTGCTAAACGTTATGAGAGTTCATGAAATCTCACTCAGAACTTGGAACATTTTGTTTAAATGTTTTGTTTCCTGTCCTTTAGCTCCTTGTATGTTGGTCTATTTTTCTTCAGGTCATGGAAAAGAAAGCAGCCCTACGCCGGCGCCGGACACGGAACAGGAAATATGCCTCCGACGAGTTTACCTCTATCTTTTCCGAGCGTAAAGCCCTCACTCAGAGTTACACAGAAGGAGTCGTGGACTCGGAGGAAATTGTCACCTTTGACGGGACCGTGGAGGTTGTCGAGATGACCGTTGACCAGGTGATTGTTGCTGTGTTAAGTCAAATGTATCGGTGTTGGACACTGAGGGTCCTTTGTGGTTGTAATATAAGGAGGCAGTATTACATAGGTAAAGGTCTTCTGTATTTGAAGATACACGAGGACAACCTTTCATCTGATAGGTTCCTAATCAAAACAGAAGTGTCTCAGTAATATAATTCTCTTGTCATGACACTGGTTCTGCCTTCAAATGAAATAAACTCGATTTTGCAAAATTCAGTCGTCCACTCAAAAGGTGTCTTTTAGGGTAAGTAACGTTGTTCAATCCACCGTCTTTTGGGGGCAACAGAAACTGCTGTCTGCCTGCGCTGAATTTTGTATTTTGTCTTATGTCGCGTATGTGAGTATTCAGCATGAAACTTGGTACTTCGCATTTTGATAATATAATTGATCTTGGTTCTATGGCTTCTTGTTTCTTTTTGCCTTTTAGATAGGTACAGGTAAAATAATATCACTCTATTTGTGACTGGTGTTTTGTTTATGTATTCAAGGGAAGCCGTCTTCACAAACGAAGTATTAAATCTGTCTTCAGGAATGTGTTGTAGAGACTGTCGGTGAAATTGTCGAGACTGGGGACAGTCACGCCTCGAGGAAACCGGGAGAGGAGGAGAAAGGGGAAGAACTGGTGCTGCAGTGTCCCTCACCATACAGCGACATCTCCGATAGGTCCATGTCAGACAAGTCTGAGAGCGACCACTCTGAGGTGGAGATGGAGAAAGTCTCGTCGGATGACGATTTGGACAACGATGATTTAAATGTGGCATATGTGGAGGGAGCTCAATCCGCCTCTATTGGGTCGTCACTGTCAGAAGAAGGTGTTGGTGTAGAGGAGAAGGCTACTGTGGCCTCTACAGAGGAGGATTCAGCACGACCAGCACAGGCTGGGGAGAATGTCAAAGAAACAGCCTCAGAGAACAGGTATGCAAATACAGTCAAATTTGTCCATGACAGCCACCTATTGTCGAGGAAAAAAGTGGTTGTCTTTGACAGGTTGATGTCTTGGCCAGTGTATATCTTTAGAAATGCTGGTGGGGGGGGGGGGTGTGGACATGTTCTTGTCTTGTACAGGTGTACAGGTAGCCGTAAGAGTGTATGTATTGTAGTCACAAAGTGGTATGACTTATTCTTTCTTGCTTCTGTTGTTTAGCAGAATTTGTATTTTCTTACCTGCTTTATTTCTGTCCAAGGATAACGTGCATCAACATATGCTAGAGATTCTCATGCCTCGTGTTCCATCATTGGATTTTTATAACTCTGAATTACATACTCAGTACCTCAAATACTTCCAGAGAACATATGGTAAACTTCAGTTGCTGGTAGGGTTGTTGTATAGGTTGGAGAATGTATAACTTCCATAAGTACTGGACCAAAATGCTGCTGATTATCTTATAAACTGTATTTTTTATATAAAGGAGAGGCCAAAAGCCTTTTCAATTTAAGATATTTTTGTACAGCTGTACTGGGTAGTTAGAAAAGGAATATCAGTGTATGTTTTGTCATTTAGCTTATGCCATAGCAATTAGTCATATGGTGTAATTGTTTACTTCTTTTTTTCTGACTATTAGATTTTTATAATTTTTTGTATCTTGTTACTTCAGTAAATCGCCAGAAGATGAAACAAGAGATACCTCTTACAGTCACCAAGCAGGTGACCAGTACCGACCTCGTGGAAATCACAGGCATATGGCAACCCCACCCTCTTCTGTTGAGGAAGATACTGATGCTAGGTGACTAATGCACTTCTTTTCTTGGGGAATATGTATTGACTTTTTTAAATTGCAATTCTTCTTTTTCCATATTTGGCATAACATAGTGTTGCTCATGATGAGGTGTTGAGAATTATGAAAGAAGAAGTCTTTGTTTATCAAATTAATGGATCATCTTCCAATAGAAAGAATGAATGAAGATTGTTTTCCCCAAAGTTACTTTTTCTGCATCCACTGTGCTGGGCGTGAGTGATCAAGAGGAACAAAAATGTCATTGTCAAGTCTGATGCCTGGGTAGTGCACAGTGATGACAGGAATGTGTTGTACACAGGCTAGTGGTGTCATACACCCAGCTATCTAGACTGGCCCTTAACAGTATTATCCTTGCAGGCCTAAAGCTTTGTGAATTTTTTCTTTTGTCTTTTTATTCTTGTCAGGGGGGTTTGCAGAATGAAGTACGCATTTTGAAAAAGTAAATGTGCTTTTCATTAAACATGCCAATTATGTAGGAGAAAATTCATCATGCAGTAAAAATTTGCTTTTACTCAGCTGATGCTTGTATAAGTGGTGACTACTTTACCATTGGTTTTCATGCTTGGTCATAGCAGTAGGCTATTCCTACACATTGAGGAAGTCAAGAAGGAGCACAAAAGTGAGATAAAACTTATATTTGTCACTTACAGCTTTGCAGCCTGGCACATTTAGCCAGGACAGATGTTTTCATAGCATTGTCTAAGATATTTTACTTTGTCTCATCAAAACATCAGATACAGTGTAGTCCAAAGTCAGACTAGACAAATTTGTTGGATGTAATGTTCATTGTGTTTAAATACAGGTATTTTTAAATATGCTTATAATCTAAACACAAAGTCTTTTCTTTGTGAATGCATGACATGTTTGTATATCAAATTCAAATATGCATGTTGTCTTATGAACTGAAAAGCATCACAATAAATAAAGTGCCGTAGATGACTGTAGGGTTAGTAATTTTTATTATGCTTGGAGACTGAGAGAACTGAAGCCAGAAACTTTTCTTTGGTTGTCTTAAGTTTAATTCTTCTTCTTTGCCCTGTTTTCTTTGAGTAGGGCCTCTAAAGGTCGTCGATCCGTCCCGTCAGACGAAGAAGAAAAAGGGTCTGTGAAAAGCGAGAGCCGCCCTTCATCCGCTAAAGGTGTGGTAGAGCTCAGCCAAGAAGGTGTGGAGTCCTCGTCTGCCGGTGCCCCGGTCCAAGCTAGCTCTCCCTCTGAGCCTGTGAACATCATGGGAGACTTGGAGCTGGAGCCTGTGTCAGACGAGGACTCTCCGTTTGATGATCTCAACTCACCTGACGCCGCTGGCAATGCGGGAAAAGAAGAAGGAGAAGAGAAAGATTCTGATACTGAAATGAAGCAGCCTGAACCTGTCAGAACAGAAGTTGGACGAAAGACTCCTGAAAGCGTCTCACAGGCGCCCGTTGAAAGGGAGGAGCCTGAGGAAGGAGAGGGATCAGATGAGGGGGAAATAAAAAGTGACTCTGACGGACCACCAGAAGTGACGGAGGAAGAGAAAGAGCGGCAAGCCAAGAGGAAACCAATCAAGCTCGTGGACTTTGGCGAAGCAGAAAAGAGGGCTCGGGAGTCACGAGGAGGGTACTACCCCGAGGCTGATCGTCGCACCCCAAGGACACCCAGTCTGGCAACCCCTTACAGACCCGGCTATTCCTCTTGGCAATCTCAAGAGTACACCCTGAGGTTTTTATCTGTTTTTTCATGTCTGTTTGATCTAATTTGAGAAGATATTGCTGTAGCTGAATTTCTGTTTATCATCTGGTGTTTGTGTTGTCATCTGGCAGGTGGTTGGAGGGCACCTCTGCTAGGTCCTACTTCTTTACTTTCCCTCTGTTGTTTCTGTCTGTCCGATTTACTTTTTCCCAGCACATATTGAGCATTATTGTGTCGATGTGCTTCTCTTTACAAGTTGTCATCTGCCAATTAATCCTTAAAGTTTTATTTTTGCCCTAACTTTTGTTTTGCGCCTTCCCCCCCCCCCCCCCCCCCCCCCATCAATCCCTTGTACCAAGTGTCAATTTGTTTTGTAATTTTTTTTGGGGTAGTGGGTAGTGCATGCTTTGAATGTATCATAGTCGATTAACTAAAGTTTCAAATAAGCAAGACAAAGAGAGAAAAGCTGCCTTTTACTTTTTTTTAAAAGCAGACTTTGCTTTTGCAATGGTTATTTTTCTTTTGTTTTGTTACCTGATGTAGTACCATCTCAGACAGTTGTCTATGCCAAACTTTTTCACTTCAGTATTTTTCAAACAAGGGGCAACGTGGTGTGCTAACTTGTGAATGTAAGGAGGTTTCTTGCATGTCATATCTTACTGCTGTCTGTAGAATTTGCTATTGCTATGGTTTGAAGAGAAAATGGAAGTATGCTTCTGCAATGACCTTGAAAGTGACATGGTCCAGTCTAAATTCTGGCTGTGATTTCCTAGTTTCATTATTGTTATTAGAAATCTTTTCAGTTGATCTTGCACAATTAACTTTTTGAAGCACGAATTTCAAAAACAGGTTGGCGAGTCAAGTTAAAGAATAGTTTTCTTCAGCCGACAAGGAAGTTGTTTACATATGTACTTGCAGGATTGCAGGGTGTGATGCATAGAACATCCTTGTTTGCTACTCTACTGTTTCTGTCTATCCATTCTGCTTTTTTCAATACCAAATGGCTGTTACTATGTTGCCATGCTTTTCTTTGACTGAAACTAATGTTTTTCTGAGATGTATTAAATGTATCTGTTGTGTTTCGTCAGCTCCAGCCGTGGGAGTGGGTACAGTGGCTCCAGTGGTAGATTCACATCCTCCCATGAGGGCACACACCCCTCCAGCGCCAAGTCCCCCGCTGCGGCGTCCTTTGATGGCGAGTCAGAGGCCAGCTCACACAGCCGCACCTCTGTGAGGGTGAGAGATGATGTGCCCCCACCCTACCCCATGGAAGGTGTGAACGCCACCAGGAAGCATCGATCACCTGGGTCAGATCAAGGTTCTTCTGGGGCTTTGAAAGCAGGCATGTCTCCCCCTTCACCAGTATCATCTTCATCGTCATCTCGCTCTGCGTCACCAAGATCTCGTCGTTCAAGGTCAAAGTCTAGGTCAAGGTCTAGATCATCTTCCTCTTCATCCTCGGCTGCGTCTTCATCAAGGTCTTCTCGAAGAAAGAGGAAGGCAAAAAGTCTGTCGAAGAAGAAAAGGAAACACAAGCTGGAAGTGTCATCAAAACAGGCAGTGATGGAAAAATTCTCTCCACTAAAAGCTGCAGAGGATTTGCCACCTGCTAAGGTGGAGGCATCTCTTGTCAAGCAACGAAAGCTTTCCTCTGGCAATGAGTCCATCTCGTCTGATGAACTGCCGTATTTCCCTGATGATGTGCCTGAGACAGCCGCAGCCAAACCAAAACGAAAACGCTCTCTTAGCGGCAAGTCTTCCTCTTCCGGTAGTTCCTCCAGTCGTAGCAAGCGCAGGAAAAGAAGGAGAAAGGGAGACTCTCCAGGCAAAGAGTCTATCTCCTCCAGTGAGCTCATCTATTCACCAACGAGACTCAAGTCTCCGGTTGGCTCAGACAGTGATGAGGATGTGCCAGAGATTCCCAAACCTCCCATCTCCCCAGCTGGAAGCTCCATCTCCTCAGGTGAGCTTCCTGACTACGCTGGCGATGACATGTCCACTGCCCGACCTCTGGCTTACTCACCACACCGTCCGCCCTCACCTTCGGAACGGCTCCCCATCACAACAGACTTTGATGGGTTCCAACCTCCCCTACCTCAGGAGATGCCACCTGACTTCGAGAATTGTCAGCCTCCCCCTCCTCCCCCATCCCCTCCCCCCATGCCTCCTCCCCCTCCAGCATATGAAGAAGGGGAGATCAGTGACTCTTCACAACCACGCTCCCCTGAAGCACAAGTAGAAAACACCAGTACCAACGAATCTTTTACAAAGAAAGGGGACTTTTATCAAATGCCATCTGACACTGTTGGACCTTCGGCTAATGAAAGTCAAACCAAAACTAAGAACAAAGATGACTTTTGTAAAGAAATGTCTGAAAATCCCTCTGAAACTTGCAGCACTGTTAATGTAGGAACAAATCTGAAGACTGTTAAAGATGCTGCTGGCCATAACCGTCCCGTCGATTCATTTGCTGAAAAGCAGCCAGCATCTGAAAAAGATCAAGTGACTTTGGGGAATTCGCCCTCCGGCGATGTTACTCTTGACCAAGTTCCGGACAGCTTGTCACAACATGTAGACAGTGTTCAGGACAGCTCTACAGTAAGTGGTACCGAGAAGCTGAACTGCCCTGCCTCCAAGTCTGAAACCCCACAAACAGAAGACAGACTTTTAGCAGAGACAGAGTTGTCTAGGTTCAATTCAGAATCAAAAGCATCTGTCGTGACAACTGGACCTTCAGTTTCATTGTCTAGTCCCCCACAGCTACCTTCACTAAATTTTCTGCGTCCCAATTCAGAAGATTTGGCTCAGAAAGAACCAGGCAACTCTGTGGACATTTGCCCCACAGAGAATGTTTCTAACCTTCAGGATACCCAGGAGTTAGTGACAAGTGGCGAAATTTCTCAAGATGCAGCGGTAATAATCTCTCAGCAGCATTTAGATGTTGGTGGAATTGTGAGTAGTCCTCCGTCAGATTCCTGTTCCAACATCTCTCACGCACAAAACTCTATGACAGCTCTGACACAGTCTGGGACTGTTACTCCTCACACCGAACCATCAGACCAGTCTACGGATATCGCTAGTCGCACAGAAACACTACCAGAATCTGGGTCTAACGTTAACCCTCCCTCGACTGAGGAGTCATCTCCTCAGAGATCACACAATGAAGTAAAAAGTACTAAAGATGAAACTCAGCATTCCACAGCAGAGGAAGATCTGCTGCTAAAGGTTGTCTCCCCCCAGAGTGTTCAGGACAGTACCGATACTAGCTGTGAAGTAGAAACCCCTGAGTCTACAGCACCACTAGCAGCAGATCAGATTGTTGCAGAAGAAGCTTCGTCTAGGGGAGAGAACAAAACAGAATCTTTTTTGGAGTCTGCTTCGTGCTCTACGGTCGCTGGGGAGGGCAACCAGGTGATATCTGAAAGTTCTACTTCCTGTCAAGTTCCAAGCATTCCTTTAGAGCTTCCGAAAGAGCAAACAAACTCAGAAACCAGTCGTCCTCCGGAACCAAAGCCACAAGATACAAATTTATCTGAGAAGTTAGAGACAGCTTCAGTGAGTGTTTCTGAAGATATTCAAACAGAGAATGTTGTGTTTTCAGATGTTGTAAAAAAGGAGGAGAAGAGTGAGAGCTGTGGTGATGTCAGTGAGACCTCAAGACATGAGATGCCTTTGGATGAGTCTCCCTGTGAGACTGCCAAAGAAGGCAGCCCTGGTTCAGTACATTCTTTGGGTGGAGAAATCCAAGAAGACAAAGGAGAAAAATTAAATGTTTTACCGGGGCCGCAGTCTCTTGGGTCTCCGCCTTCTTCAAGTTCTCAAAGTGACGATAAATCAGAACAAGATCAGATGATACATCAATCCACTGAAAAACAAGGCACTGATGGGGTTGAGGCATTAGTCACGGAGTCAGAATCTGCTCAAACTGCGCAAAAGCCAACTTCTCCACAAGACATTAGGGCCTCTAGAAAGAGAGCCGGTGCAGATTGTGGTGTCAGTTCTCTGGAAATAGAGGCAAGTGAAAGTGAGACGGGACATTCTTTGAGCGGAGACAGGCTTTCAACAGAGACTGACTGCGTAGGAAGTTCTCCATCGCGGCCAGGGACACGACTGCAGCAACAGCAGCAGTTGGAGAGCTCTGTGCCGCAGACCAGAGGTCGTTCGGGGTCTGGTTCAGGTACCAGAGAAACCAGAAGTCGTCGGGAGAGAAGTCCACCTGCCAAGAAGCAAAAAAAGTAATTGTTAACAAAAATAATCGTTTATCATACGGACCAGTAGATGTCTTTACACAATCTTTTTTTTATTTCTTGGAGCCAAATTGCAGCTGGTTGATGACGACCCTGATGTGGACTGCTCCTACTTTTTGTCAGTTTTATTTTTGTCAGAATCTGTTCCTGACAGTAGTTTACAGACCCATCATAAACAACAACATAATAACTGAACAATACTTATGGTATAATATTGCTGTTCTTAACTCTGTCTGTTCCATGTGTCAGTACATCAGTGCCTTTCCAGTCACCTTTTGACCTTGTGCTGATAATTTTTAGCACAGAGAGAGAAAAGGGTTTAACATGTTAATCTGTAAATTGTCTCTTTCTCATTTTTGTTGTGCATGAATGAAAACAGCAAGGAGGTATAAGACTTGTTTGTAAAAAGCATTCAGTGCTTCTGTCTTTACTGCAGCAGCTACTCAAATCCAGTGTTAATGCCATATATCTCCTTATGTTATGTCTCATGAACTATGTTGTCCTTACTGTACAGGCTTTAGCTTGTTAATTTTTTTTTCCTCTAGGCTGTTTGTCAAAGTATAGCTTGTCACATCAGTTAGTTAGCTTCTAACATTTGTTTCTTCGCACTGTCTTGGTGAGTGTAGAAATATGTTTGTAGAACCTCAGCTTGGAAGTGAGCAAAAGTTTCAAGTTATGGTCTTTTTAGGCTTTTCAGAATAAGAAGGCATTTAGAGAAAAAGGTATTATAGATTATTTTACATGTTTCTGGACTTAATCATAGTCCCCATTTTAAAAGGTTTCTGCGTCAATAGTTGGTCTCCAGCAGAGATATGGGCCCCCGAACGAAAACACATTTGATGGACTTGCCCTCTTATTATTCTTCTGTTTGCTGTAAGTGGAAAAAATTGCATCTAAGAATGTTTTCCTTTTCTGTGAACTAAATAAGAATTCTTTTATCATCCAATCTTTTAATGTCTGTGTAACATTCTTTTTTTTTTAGAAGAGCTTCAGAGGTTAGATGGAAAGAAAGTGTTAAGTTTAAGATGTGAAGCTGGTTGTTTAGTGTTTTACTTTAATTGTTTTGGTTATGAATGAATGTTTGCCTGTTATATTTACTAGTGATGTATTGTGTTGTTTGTTACAAAAAACATATTTGTGAATGAGCGTTCTTTTATCCTGCTGATCTGAAAGTATTCCTGTGGCTTATTACTTTCTTTGTTTTTCCTCCTGTGTTGTTGTTTCTGTCTTCCTTTTATTGTAGTGACCTCATTTGTACTCTGGTCTGTACTGCCCAGTTCATTTGTAGGCTATTCTGTACTGCCAGCATCTTTGTACACTGTATCGCCAACATTTATGGTTATGAGCTATTATTATTAATACAAAAGGTAGTGATGAATGTTTGCGTGTTGCTTTTGGACAGGGGGAAGAAGGATTGAATGTCATATTTTTTATAGGGGGGAAGGGGGATTTACAAGGTTTTTGAGCTATTGAACTTTTGGATTTTTAAAACATGAAAACTGGTTTTGTACCCTTCAACTGACCATCAAAATAAAAGTGGCATTTATTGAAACTGTAAAATACAAAATTGTCGTTTCTAATCTATTGTATCATCTTGGCTGTATCCTTTTCTTCTGTTCATCTACATCAGCTTGTGTAGCCTGTCCTCTCCCTTCCTTACCCAAACTGTTAAGAGCGAATCAGTGGGGTTACGTTACAGGGTAGGTCTTGCTGTTGAGAGGTTGACCTCTTCAGTGCCGAGCCTTGCAATACAGCTTTCTCATCCCACTAACAGTGGGTGGTTGGCGGGTGCTCTGGTGTGGTTTGCTCCTTCTTTCCTATAAAAAATCTTTCTTCTCTATCTCCCCTCTTTTTTTGTGTTTGTTATTCTCTTGTAATACTTCTAATCTTCGGCACTTATATTATAACCTTATTGTGTTGCAAGTGCCGTTAAACTCTTACTGAAACTAAAACATCCCACTAACATATTCACACAATATCGTTACTTTTATTTCTTGGCCTGTACAGTTGTCCAGAATTTTTTGTTGTTTAAACCACAATTTACCTAGGGTATGATGACAGGAATTGTTTTAGTTTTGATACCTGAAAAGAAGTAATGGTTGTAGGATGATGAATTGTCACAAAGTTTCATTACAGGTGGGTGGTTGGCGGGTGCTCTGACATGCTTTGTTTCTTCTTTCCTATCAAATATCTATCGTCCTTATCTCCCCTTCTTCTTTTTTATGTTTGTTACTCTCTTGTAACACCTCTAATCATCTGGCGCTCATATGACCTTATGCAGTTGCGATCGCCGAAAACCCTCTACTAAAACTAACTGCTAAAATTTTTCACAATGACAGTCAACTTATGGCATGCCATGTTGTTACCTAAAACATAATGGTTTGGACAGACCCTCACACTCCACAAACATAAATCTGCCCAGTTAGTGGTCCTAAACAAAATTTCCATCATCTTGACACATTTTGAAAGTTGTTAAATCACATTGACATAGAATTGGCTAGTTGTATCGCCACTCAGTTGTGTGTTCCCATATATCGATAATAATATAATCCTTATTAAGAGCCCAGGCACATTTTGAGTGCAAGAGTGAAGTGGCTAATATCATCAGGTTTCCCACAATTCTTGGGCAGCAATAGACAGCAAAAATTATCCTCCGATTTCCTTCATTTCCCTTTTCTTAATTAACTTAACATGTTAATGTTAATCATTGTGCTACAAAAATGAGCTCTTCTTAACCCTCAGAGTTGCAGCCACGTTCACACATTCCTCACAAGTTCCCATTCCACCTGGTCCAGCTGCCTATATATTTCCCTCACAGGGTGCCAGCCGCCTCAGACCCAGCTGCACACTTTTAACGTAATCTCCACAATAGTCTCTGAAAAATATTGTTCATGTTACCTTATAAACTTCAAACAAAAGCAGTAAGAAATATGTGTACCAATGTTTGCAAAAAAATTACAGACACAATCCGTATTAGCTGAGCCTGAGGAGTCAAGGACTCCAGTATTATCTAAGATTCTCTACTAAAAAAAAAGAGAGATGTACTAGTAGTAGGCCTACTATAAGTAGAGAATCTTTGGTACATTTGTATTACCTGGGCCCGAGGGAAGTGGTGGCTAAAAATAGCTGGTGCTGTAACTTTCTGTAAGGTTTAAGTCAGGGTGATCCAAAAAAACTGTACAACTTTTGGTTAATATTTTCCTCCACACTGAAGTATTGCTCTTCAAATTGTACACATTTGGAAGTCAAAAGGAATTTGTCTGATATTCATTTTTAAAAATCCACAGAGTAGTTTTGCTCTGCAGAGCGTGTAAAAAAACAACCGATTTTCAGCTATGTCCCCATTTTTGGAGCTTGACTCACTAGTTCGCATTAGGTCTACCACTAAAATTCCCAACGATTGAGCCATATTACATTCTACAGTAGTCTAACAAGCCAACAGAAGTTTGCAGATAGTTTTTTTTAAGTTTCCTTTGCCTGCTGTGATCATGGTTAAGATTGGTAAAGAGCAGAGAGCTTTTTGTATTGAAAATGTTCTCACAACCAACTCATATTTAGTAAGTTTCGCCCAAGGTATGGAAATAATGTTCAAGTGCCCTTATAAGGTCTTCTTTGATGTCAAGGTTGGAAATGGTCCATCAGTTAGTACCTGTAGAGAATCAGAACTAAAAATTCCCAGACAAAACAACTTTTTCAGGTCAAACACACACCGTTCGCACCGCTTTAAGCGTCACCAGGGTACAAAATTCAGTAGATGAGCCACATGAGACGTCTGTCCGTAGACGATGTCTGCAGCAATGACTTTCCTACATCTCAACTGTCCGCATTCTCAAGGCAGATCTTCATCTACGATTGTACCATTTTCTCGTTTGCGAAGTTATCAGAGGATAGCAATACGTGTTAATGATTCCTCGATCGTCTTAAAAAACGTGAACATTCCTCTATGACATTTAATTTGGTTCCTTTTAATTTAACAAAGCCTATATTCACCTTTCAGGTTATATCAACTCCACAAATACTGTCTATTTGGGTAACCTCGCCCCCTCCCCCTATTGTCTCTAGAAACAGCTCTATACTGTAAGGTGTACAGTATAATATGTAGCTTCGAGTACCCTTGGTTGAATGGATCTTTGTGTTTGGCCACCACTGAACATTACGAATGACCCGTTAAAATGTGTCGAGTCCAAAGGACATAGACCATAGGTTCTCGGAATTCCAGAATTTAATAATAAATGTTTAACTCTGTAGGAGAAAAGAAATAGATCTATTGTATAAAAGTTACAGGGATGGAAAGATTATATTTTAAAAAAGAAAGGAAAGGAAAAATCAAACCAATCATTTCATGACTTTCCTTACAAGATCTTTTAAACTGCTGCATTTTGCATTTTTATAGGTGATTTTTATAAACGCCATTTCTGTTTTCAAAAATAAGTTTCTTCTTTGTGAATTTTATGTCAAACAAATTCCTTTTGAATGAATAAATATAATATATCTACCGGTAGTCCAAATTACAACATTCCAGTGCTAATTTTGTGTGGAGATATTTAGAAAAAAAGTTGTACAGATTTTTTGGGGGATCACCCTGTATGATTAAGCATGTAGAGTTTACTAATAGGCCTACTGTGATACTACAGGTAATTTTTGGGCACAATCTTCATTTTTTTTAAACCCCACTTGTGTCATGCTGAAATGAGAAGAGAGGGAGAGACCCTGGGTACAATGGCCAACTGGAATTCTTGAACTATGGGGCTTGTTTCAGGACTTTTTATGGCTTTTCTGTCAATTGGTCGTCCTTTTGAATTTGAAGATGAAGGTTAAATCAGAGGCTACCTCTTCCCCTCAAACAACCTTGTGTTGAATAAAGGGCATCACTCCCGAGTCCCATAGGAATACAACATCAACTCAGCAAGCCTGCTTTCTCCTTTTTCAACATTGTTTAAGTTTACCCTTTTTTTATTAAAGTCAGCAACTGGCACCTGTGGTGTAGTGAATAGGACCTTCGCTGTTGCACACAGGACACCCGAGTTTGATTCGCGAGTGGGAAGAAATAAAATTTTTATCGGGTATCTCAGTCTTTCTGCTGGAATGTCATATATTCCACATTTCCCTTTCCTCCAGGAAGATCAAGCATACAAACAGTTCAAATCTTATTGTATTGACGCCCTCACAGAGTTTTAGCAGGTATATCATGCTTGCACCGAAATGGTTCACACTAAAAACTGCAACATGTAAATCACAAGTGTAAGCTGAGGTCATCAAGCAACTAAATTCGAATGATGGAACTGAACATGCTGACGACTTTTTTTGTGTTTTTTAATAAGTGTTTTATGGCGCTCGCAACTTCATAAAGTCATATGAGGGCGCTGGACATTAAACATTTTCATTTGGTAGGAAATTTTTTATTTTGCCCAGGTAGCGGCCGAAGCATACTCTTAGTAGTCTTACCGATTTTGGACCACTTAACGTGCACAATTTGCACACGTGACCTTCGAGATTTTTCGCCCTTATCCGAGAAGGCTAGGTGGTAGATCTTACCTACCATAAGATCAGTGGTGTGGCTGAAACTGAAAGTGAAAGACAGCAGTAAGCAGAAGCCAAGGAGTAGCAGTAGAAAGGCTGCAGAAAGGATCAGGAGCCCAGAGGAGGGGGCAAAGGAGGTGAGGGGGCAGGGGCAGAAAGTGGAGATGAAAGCAGATGATAGAACATTGTAAGAGAGCAGGAAAGGAGGTGAAAGGAGAACATTTTAATAAGAGAAGATAATTTTCCGTCTTTGTGAGGATTCGAATCCGGGACCTTTTGAATGAGATGTGAACATCGTAGCCTCTCGAACACGAGAGCACCCTGCAGATGGCTGCTGGGACACATCTATGGTACTGTATCGGTTTAACATCCCTTTGAACACAGATTCAAAATCAGTTCCCTCAGGTAGCTACTCAAATGAACTCGGCAGACAACTCAAGTTAAGTAAAAGAAAACTACATATAGCGCTGGGCAGATCATGTGGCACTGCCTTGTACTCTGTAGAAAACAAACAATAGAAATGTTCTAATGATCATCATCCAAAATTCTCCATTTTCTCATCCTCGAGGTGGCCGACGCACTACATGAACTGACAGGAAACAGTTCACAAAGTGGGAGTTTGGCGGGCATGTACGTGTAGTTTGCTCCTTCTTTCCTGTATTATCAAACATCTATCGTCATTATCTCTCCTCCTTTTTCTCTGGATGTCACTCTCTTGTAACACCTCTAATCTTCAGCACTTATATGACCTGAACTATTTACTATTTGTATTGCAACACTTACTAAAACTAAACTACTTCACAAGGAAACAAGTTCATCTCACTCATTTATATGGCCACAGGACCTGTACAGTCAATACTGTACATTGAAGCGTGGGGAACAAGCTTCCTTGATGGATTTTTAACAATAGGCAATAAATCAAAAGTATAGTGAAATTTGGTTTGTCGCATCTGTACATTGTATTTATTTTTTGCCAACAGTTTTGATTATAGCATGTCAATGTCAAATCAATCACAACATACTTTATACATACACATACAAATAATTGCACAAAACCAGAAGTGCGAGCATGTTCACCTCGACTCAGTACACAGAAAAACTGTCGTATAATAAAATATTCCCCAGGTAATACAAAATTCCAGTTATAATTGTTCACGCTGTACATGATGCTCGGGTCAAGGTAAGGCATGCAATTCTTAAGGAAATGCCACAATGTCGAAGGTTGAACACATTAAGTACACACACAAGACCTTTTTACATCTGAAACTCCTAACATAATTATCTCTTCTGACTGCAGCACGGACCAATAGTAAATGCAACATTAATTTACTATTGAATTAGACTATGAGAATCTCAAAGAAAATACAGAAACTGACTTTGCCTAAGACAAGCTCAGATTAAAAGACCTTTGGATAAAATGATACTTTTTTTCTTTCTCCTGACCATAATATTGGAAAGGAGGGAACCTGATAAAGCGTTCAATTTATAGATGGGCTTTTTCTCAATCCTTAACAGTATCCAAGGCAAAGTTCACTGTACTCCAATCTGTCTAAAAGATTCACTTGGCGAAAAAAAAAAGAATTGTAACAATATCATCATATTTGTAAAAAAATGTCCCATGCTCTTACACAGCAACGTGCCACATTCTCACATCAGCCACACATCATCAAGTGCCATTCAGATCACCGACTGACACTCAGCACCCAATAACCAACAAGCAGTTAATCCTGTGGCCACCACTGGCAGGTCCTACTTCTGTAACTCTCCATCACTGTTTTGTCTTCTTTCCAGTGGTAAATGACAGTTATCATGCCAATGTGCTTCTTTAAAGCAACAAAAACTAATCTTCAGAGACCTACAACAATATAGGGGGATGTGATCGCCCAGCAGAACCTTTCACAAAAATCACATTTTCATTTCCGTGCCATTACAGTCATATTAATGAGTCCTAGGCCCTTAATTACTATTACGCAGTAAAATCCCCAATGTTTCAAAATAAATGAACATAACAATTTGTAATCCTGGCGGTCACAAAAAAAAAATTCAAGGAATATGCATTATTTTCCTGAACTTATTATTAAGACTTTCTTAGCTTAGCAAAATATTATAACACACAAGTAGATGAAATGCACATAGTGGTTGAGCATACACAAGAATCCCATCCCTGCAATCATCAGAAGCTTATTGAGTTACTTCAGACTTACTCTACCACTGACATTAAACATTAGGCAAAGAATTTGCCTGAGCTGCCATAATTATGCACCAATAGCTTGCAATCAGTGGGACGCACCACGGGCAACAGATTCCTCATACTTCTTTCCGTTATTGGTCAGAGCTTTTACCCAGCAAGAGGTGACCACCATAGAGTTAATTTGCTTCCATCTAAATGACCAACAATAATATGCTTTGACACAGTAATGCCACTATGAGCTGTCTTGCAATTATGTGATCCAAGTTGAGCCCATAAAACACGACCCAGTAGCTCAAAATTAGCTCGATTAAGTCAGTAACTCCCCCTGTTGTCGATGTTTTATGCCGCCCTCAACACAACCATATCCAATCTCCTGTCCTCTTCACTCGCCATATTCATTCAGAATCAGAATCAAAATCAAAACACTCGGCCTCTGAAAGAAACACATCACTCATGTGTAAATGATCCTGTTCACAAAACTGGATACAATACTTGTACAACAGAGAAAAAGATGTCAGAAATCAAGGACAATGTTCACATTAACTGACAACATGCCATCAATAATGCTGTCAGAGTGAATTTTTGGTCCTTGGAAGCGATTAAAAATTCCAACAAGAATTATTCCAAAAAATGTACAGCAACAATGGTAAGTACAAGAAATGACAGTATCCTTCACATTCACAGAGATATTCTTCCTGACAAGACAGTTGACCAGCTCAATGCCTGAGAGGAGAAACATTTTGATAGTCTAAGACATCTTGAGTAAGTAATTTTTTTACTTTCTTCAAGAAAGATTGTAACAACTGTTATAAGCCCCCATCAATACAATTTAGAACTTACACACAGTAGGGAGTGAGCTGCTTTATTCCTACTAAATGTTATGTCTGACTGGACAGAAGTATCCCAACAGGAAGACAGAGACTTTCAATAAAAATTTCCCAATCTAGAAACCCCTAGGGTTTTTTTTAATGCACAGGAGAAACCAAAGCAATAACAGTACTTTTTTCCACTGAGCTCAGAAGAGGATGAAGGGCTATAGAAATTCCCAATTCATTTCAATCCAATATATATATACATGAAGTGGTACAAAATCAGTATTGAGTATTTCCACTTTCAAACAAATGCTCTTTCAAATTTAACACATAGGAGCTCAACAGCAGTACAACGCTTCAAGTTATTGACATTTCCTATGCCTAGTCTGAAGAAAAACATCTGTCTAACAATTTTAGATCTTTTTCTCACTTCATTCACAAAGTAAAACAACAAACAAACCACAACACAAGACTTGGCTAACTCTCATCAGGCAAAATTGTGATACACAATCGCTTCTCGGGCCAGCTGTACGTTTTGGGACATAAAATCTGAGGAAGACACAAGAAGCACTCCTTGTATAAAAACCTGCCAATCAAGATAAGGGCTCATGCTTTCTAATCTCAAACAAAACGATTTTTAAAAACCCATCAAAGCTACAATAGTACTTACAAAGGGAAGCATTCAGCAAACTTGTGAGGAAGAAATTAATTATCATATTATACATATAAGAATACAGTCATGTCAACTCTTTGATTCTCTATTGAAACACGCAAATGCCGGGTGTGTGCGTGCATGCGTGAGTACGGTATGTGTCAGACAGCTCAGGATTCTATCAAGCACTTACTCGTCCACATTCAAAAGGCCACACCAGTGAAAACAGAAAGGCGTCAATTGTCTCATGTTAGCCCCAACATTAACACAAGGCCTGAAGCATTTTTAGACTGTCAGGGTGACAGGTCAGTGTGGGAACAAAACTTTGCAAGAGAATGAATCAAGATTGACCCAAGCCCCTTTTGTTGAAAAAGAAAATTCACTGTCTACTTCTTACATAGTCAGCTCAGCCTCATCCTACCCATTTGTCATAACATCCTAGATAATAATATGGTGTAAAGCGCATAGAGCTCGTTGTCGAGTGGGGACACGCACGATAAAATATCAATTATTATTATTACCATTATTATTATTAAAGGAAAACATCATTTGTTTCAATGAAACTCCAGTTTAGCAGGGGGAAATGAAAAGAGGCCTAAAAGTTATGCTAACATTTATTGTGAACACAATTAAAGCCCGGTGCATTTATGAAAGACGCCCCCACAGCAAAGCTGATCAAAATTGCTTAAGTATGTCAGACCTTGCTTTCACTAGAACCTAAAAGTCAGAAAAATCAAGCAGCAGACTTAATGAATTCATCAGATGCAAAGCTCTCTGCATTGATGCCCATAAGCATTTGTATACTAATACACAAAATAAAAGGAGCTGACAGCTCACAAGAGTAATTTCTTTAACTTAACCCTGTCTGTCACAGCTGACCTAAAACAACTCAGCAAACACTAACTGCAGAACCATTCTTTACCTCATCAGGACTGGAAAGTTCGTCTAAGTCATCTAGCATGTCGTCAAGTGCTTCATCTTGGATCAGTACCTAAATGAGAAAACAATGCTTGTGAATATGAGAACATTATGTCCTTCAGTGACACAATCACAAACCTATCCATTAATCCTTACAGCAGCATTGAAACAGAGCACCCAGTGTATTTTTCAAGTAACAAACATCGACTACTTACAAATAAGACAAAAATTCTCCCCCCAAACCTCCAGCGGACAAAAAAAAAGGGTACAGGACATTTAAATTTATAGGCTAAATTTAATTTACAAGTCACTGTTTTTTTAAGGTGATATTTTCAACATTGAGTTGAATCTGCTGTGACCACACTTTTCAGGGTTGAAATAATTTGTCTCCACATAAAATATAAGTTAATGCAAAAAGTATTCCAGAGGCCAGCCGCACCTGTAACCAGGTACCATGAGCTGCAAAGGGATGTTCTTCATCTGTGATGGAGCCCACAACAGAGGAGGAGACTAGAGTGATGGCGATGTCATTCATGATGCCTTTAAAAGTAAAGTGACGACCATGTTTTAACCTCCCCCTGAAAAGAAACAAAGTAACTAAAATTAATAAGAGTAATAAGTAAAAGCGTGTACCAGTCTAACAGCATAGCATTGGATTTGGAATTAAAGCAACATCTCAGCATTCATCTATGCCATGAAAGAATTTGATTCCTAAGGTAATAAGCACAAGCAACCATACACACAACACACACACTCTCTCTTTGTTCATAAACAGACACATACACTCACCCTCATGCACGCACAGGCACACCCTTGTTTACATTACCAAGCACATTAAGATTTTTGACAAAGTCTACCATCTTTCTTAGTTGCCTATATTTTTGCAGAAAAGCTTGCCTCTACTTGGCAGAAATTATACTATTTCCCATACCAATTTACCAGTAATGGACAATATATAACACTGCCTTGTCATCATGACTGAACCTGGCCAAAGTGTTTATCAGCACATAAACAAGTTACAAAAACAACTGCAGTAAAAAATTTAAAAAAGTAGAAGTTTGTTTAGGGCAGTATAGTTGACCTGTCCGTCACTCCAAAGAGAGCTTTAAAAAAAGGATATTTTTCCACAGCAGACACTTAAAGGAAGGTAGACCAAAAAAAAAAAAATCCATCACATTAGGGATGATTTTCAAAGGTTCTTTGTCTCGATCATACGAAGTGACTATTTGGACTCAAGTCCGAATAGACAAAAATTATATTTGAACTCTGAATTGAGTCCAGCATGACGTTCGTTCGACTTCCGACCCTTGTTCCTAAATATTTCCAGCATTTATTAAATTTTTTTCGATTATAATGATAACAATTCAGACATGAGCTATAATATCCAGTTACTTGATCTATCTAAACTGGCCCTCCCTGCATCATTAGTACGAAAAGAATAACCAAGCTGAGTTGACCTTGCACTCTCGGCTTGCTGGGGGAAGTGGTGTTGAGGAGAGGCCATGGCTGTCGGTTTTGTGCGATGTGATTTAAAAAAAAAAAATTACAGAAAAACTATAACACACAACAAAATGAAATTAAACATGTGGAAAGACAAATGATGGTGGAAATAATGATGATAGTGGTGGTGGAAAGACCCTGAGTTTTCGGTTACCGTGGACAAAGACACTGCCATTGGGCAATAAGAGTGCAGTCTTTTGACTTTAGACACAATTACACAGTCCTAGTAGGTAATTCTAGTTCTAATTCTGGTATTAAGTAAAATCCCCCGAAGACAGTTATAATATGTAACCTCCTTACACTTACATAACTCACTTAGAAGCTGAGTCCGAAAAAATTAAACATTTTTTTTCGGACACGAGTCCAAATAGATTTTAAAAAACATATTCGGGGTCCGAATAGATAAAAAATCTAATCGGACTCGTGATTGAATAGACCTGGTCATCATCATAAGCAAAGTCAACAGTATAAATCTACTGATGATGACCACATGACCAAACTGGACTGCAAACAGGTCAAAGTACAAGCTGGACAAATATATATAAAATTTGATATAAATATAAACTTTGACACATTCCTTGTCACGCTCTAAGAAAGTTCACCTTAGTGCCAGAGGAAGTAATGATCCTGCTTCTAAGTTGAATTTGAGGTGAACTGTGTCCAGTGACCGAGTCCTGATCAGTTCTGTGGGACCTTCAGAGCTCACTGTGCTGTCGAAGGACTCTTTTCTCGACTGTGTTTGTGAACTTCAGAAGAAAAAGACAGAAGATCAGTAATTTGCATTCCCAAGCATTTGCTTCAGCATAAGAATAAAGACTCAACTTTGTTTCCGCCTAACATGCTGCAAGTAAAGCCTTAAGACTCATAAACACTGAAGAAATTTTCAAAGCTTTCAAAACTAAGTAACAGGCCTATGTGCATCTTGATAAAGGCCAGGATCAAAATATCACTAAATTTCTATTACCAACTCAGGAAATAAGGCATAACTTTGTAAGATCATGAAATAACATCTGGCATGTTTGAAGATCAAAACAAAGAGTCATAGTAATTTATCAAATGAAAAAGAAATGGCTTGTTAACAATGGAAAATATAAACAGCTAAATTTCTTCTTTAATTTGAACAAGAGTAAGCAGTCAATACTAGGCAACACCCCTCCCCCCCCCCCCCCTCCAATGAATAAAACATCAAGTCTTTCAGCCACAGAACCAGAGGACTACTACATTTGGCTTTTATCTCACAGGGACAGGTAGGACTTTCTAAATATAAAATAACAAACTATTCCACAAGGGAAAAGACTCAGCAATACCCCACATAATTCTAAAAATAAGGCATCCATACATTACCATGTCTTCCTAAAAGCCAAAGCAATTTTTTAAAATGAAAAAACAAGTCTCATCAGTTCTTTCACTCACTCGTGTCTGCTATTTAGATGTGTGTTGCTCAACCCTTTCTTCAGTGTAGATTTGATTTGTTCCGACTCTGAAATCACAAGCATAGAATTATGATGAACTGAGTCAGAGATAAAAGGGAAATTTAAAAAAAAACTCACACTGTCAAGATGAGGATTACCTGGAAAAAAACCCATCTGATTAGAAGATGAACCTTTAACACATTTGATTTCCATATTTGTAATCAACCCTAAGCAAGGTAAATAACTCAGTGCAAATTTTCGGTCATTCAGTGGCGCAACAACCTTTGAACTTTTGTCCATAAAGAATATTTTTTTCTTTTCCCACACTTCTTCATTTCAGATACACACATCTTACAGAAAATTCTTCTGCTTAACAAAAAATGATCAAAATGCAACTGACACTAAATTCTTGGGAATGTATTCATAAAGGAAAAAAAATTATCATCAGTAGTCAACTGGCAACCAGTCAAGGATTCACAAAGATGCAAAGGGTCTTCATTTCCTTAACACGACACTTTGCAACACAAGAAAAATAAATTGCATAGGTTTAATGCCCCTTGCAACACTAAGTTACATTTAAGAGTTAGGAACTCTGAATTTAACATCTATCTCCCAAGGGACCAAGCCAAATTGGAAAGTTCACTTAAAGTGCCATTCCCAGAGACACAACGCAGGACATCACCAGACTGCGAAAGCCACCAGTTAACTCTAATCCAGTTGATATTGTAGGTTAATAAATCATTGGGAAAACTGGTTAAAATGAATATAAAGCCTTACCGTAGTCAGTGAGGGTTCTCCGTTCAGCATCACTGCTCAGCCTTCTTTCCTCTCTCTCCGCTTCCTCTTCTTCTTTGTCCCTTCTGTTCTCCTTGTTGTCATCCTCACCATCTGAACTTTGCCTATCATTGTCGCCAGGTTCATCCCATGAACACCAGGCGCTCACACCGCTGAGATTAGAACCCTCCTGCTCAATACCCTGATCTACTCGCTCCTGAGAAACCGACACACAATTCAAAATTTGTGAGGAGGCTTATAATAATTGTAAAAAGTAAACCAGTTCAATATCAGAGAGAACAAATCTAAACAAAGTTTGGAAGCTATTCATGACACATGCCCGTTACAATCCCAAAACACAAATCAGACTCGACTAGTAATGGAAAAAAATCTTAATCTCAATATAATCACTATGTCTCTTAAGGTTCATCAAATGTTGCTGTCTCCTCTAAACTGACCGTCAATGTTAAAGAACCTTTAAACCCATCCTCTACAATTATTAATTTTCCACATTCTAAAAACAAAATTTTTAAAAAACTGGTACATACACTAGCTGATCATATATTAAAAATTTTTTAAACGTCAGAGGAAACATCTCACCTTCAGCTGTGGATCTAGCTCAAATATGGTCTCTCCTCTTCGCATGTCTGTCACAAGCCATGGTCCCCCGGCACTGGAATGGTAAAAGCCTTAACTTTGATAACATGATTACTTCAAAGGCAAACGCATACAATAGTGAAATAAATCAATTTCCATGACCACACATTTAAATCTGCTATTTAGAATATTCCCTTCAACTTTTAAATTTTAGTCAATTTCTTTAATGACATCTCTCTGTTGTTTTCCTTCAGCAGACCATAGCAATCCTATTTTTCACCTTGAAAGGAAAAAATGTCTAAATTAACACAAAGCATATTATATCATTCAGCCCCCCCCCCCCAGAATATCATGAACCTGCAGTAATGATTCTAGTTGCAGGATAATACAAACATACCTTCAAATTCAAAATACAAATTACTTCAGATGTATTCCCAAATGAGCATAGAAAGGGTTTGTATGCAGTAACTTACTGCTTACCTAAGTTAACACAAATAGCTACTATAGGCACAGACCACATCATTTGTAAGGCACAGCTTTTCTCAAATAAAAAAAAAAAGAGATTGCCTTCAAAATTCTCCCTGTTGGCAGAAATCATACTTACGATGGTTTACATCTAAGTAGTTCTATTATGCCAGGGCCATTCCAACGTTGTGCTGCTTTTAATTCTTCTCCACATACTCCGACAATCTGCAGAGTTAAGTTCAAAAAACAACTATTGGTACCCTAAAGCTCTTTTAGACAACAAGGGACCACTTGGGGGCTTCCGCATGTAAAATTCATATCTTATAGTTGTGAAATACAAGCAGTACTAATTTAATTTCCTCAGAAAAAAAAAAAACCCAGTCAAAAGAGAGATGGGACCAGAAATAAGACCTCAAGAAATATACTACAGTACTTTCACATTTTAATCAAAGCAAGAGCATCCCCCAAGGAAAAAGCTCACTAAAATATTGTCCCTCGTTACCCTTGTTAATGTTCTGACCAAGGGTACATACCTTATCAATTAAGAACAAACTTTATGAGAACACAGAAAAGCAACAAATGTCAATTTTAACATCTAGGTGTATTGATGAGTTACTCATTTAGTAAATCATTCGTAAACAATGACTATCAGCTCCATGTGAGGTAGAAAATGCCTACCTGTATGAAGTTCACCATTCCTAACACAGATGAGGTAGGTTGCAGCTGTGTGTCTTCAGTCATCAACATGTGCTGAATGCGGGACTCACTGCCATCGAGGGGTGTGTGCCATGACACGTGGTCCCCACTGCAAAGCACATTTTCTGTTAGGGGAGGAGAAAGACGATGTGATTGAGCCAGTCTAAGGGGACTTAGTTTGATAAATGTCCATATTTCACCAGGAACAGGAAGGCTAAAATGATAACACTCATTAAAAGAAATTCAAGGAGCAAACAAGAAAGTCAACAGTTATTAGTCACACTTTGTTGAGCTGTAAACAACAGTGAGTCAGAACAGTAACTGACAAAAGGTTTCTGCAAAAAGAAAACAAATTGGAAAAGAAAAAATATCTTAAAAAGTGAAACATCATAACATTCCAGAATGCCCACAACAACCCACAGTGTGTCATTACTTGAAAGGGGACTTCTCAATGCATTTAGTCAATTGCTTACAAAATTCTTGTTTTCTCATTTGTACCGTAATAAAAATTACACCAGCAAAACTAAAACTTAATGGCAAAAACATTCAAATCCAGTAAAAAAGGAAAATAAGATGATAAAGAATAAACATTAAAACTTATGAACATTGTCATATGATTCAGACGGGCAATATGCACATATGTGATAACAGGTCTCAAAGAGTAGGACATTAGATAAAGCTGTCATGACAAAATGCTCATTCATGACTTACTCTTGAAACATCACTTTTTCTATCACTATGTTGATATCAGTGCAAGAAAGCTCCTTATTTCACAAAAGAAAAGCACTGTAGGAACAAACATAACAAGAAGAAACGAGAAGCTTTGCATGAGTTATGCAAGGCTACAAATTTCTTCTGTTATGTTCACATAGTGTGTGATCTCATAATTGTACTTTTTAAATTTAAAACCACACAAAAAATGCCCTACACCACATTTGCAAAGCATAATCCATAAAGACACAAACACAACCACTAAATGCAATCAGTCTCACACAAAAAGGCCCTGTAGAACTAATAATTTGAAGGATGCTTGTTATTTATCAGTTATCACTCAAATGCCACCAAAGTCACAATTTTGTTTTCTTAATCAGCTATCTATTGAGACATCATGAACACATCAGACTTAAACTGTATGACATGCTCGTAATGAAGTTGAAAAGTATCTTCTCAATAATTCATTCTGCTTCTTCATGAATACAATGAAATAAATCTACAGCAAAATAAATGATACAGATTAGGCTGAAATATTTGCAAAAGTGCAAACAAATAAGACATTTTGGGAACAAGTGACACAATGTCAATAATGCACGAATACTAAATCAAGAAGTAATCATTACTAAATTGACAGTTAAATGGAAGAATTGTGTGGCAACCTAATCAGAGGCATGAACTTCAAAAGACACAAACGAAGAACATGATTAAAAAACCCAGATTAAAACAAAAAACAAAAAAACTAACGAAAACCATCAAACCATCACGATGCAAATCCAGATCAATATGAAAAGTTAAAAATTATTGTTTTAATGCTCAACAAACCAGTAATGACTAACTGACAGACTGACTGACCGACAAACAGCTTGGACAAGAAACAAGATGAGTGATACCACATCACTAGTGCTGAGACAGCATGACAAAGGACAAATTGTGCCAAGAACAGATCAGGACAATAGCAACACCGAAAAGAAAAGACGAAGAAATGAACCACATCAGGGTGCACTTCAATTATCTGTACAAGCATCAACAATGGCATCAAGTATGACGAATGCATAAAACTAAGCAAAAGTGGTCATAGCACAAGACAAAGGTAACCATTATACTTTACAGACAGTGACATTGTCAGAGAAAGAGACCTTAGCACCTGCAGAGGCAACAGCTACCACTGAGTCGTAATTTATGACAAGTACCCACGCCGGTAACCATACTCTGCCACAAACAAAAATCACAAAAAATAGACTGATTTTAAAAAAAAGGAAAGTGCAGACCACACCACAGTTGACCACGGCGCCTACCAAGCACCAGTGAGTAGTAACAGCAATACCTGTGGTGACAGAGGCGGCAGAAGCCACAGCAGCTGCAGCAGTTGTGATTGGATCGTAATCAAAGTGACCGGAGCGGCAAAAAATATACATAGATGCAGGGGTAGTAAAAGCCAGGTTATGAGAAACAATGGGGGGTTAAGGCGATGACTATTGTACACATAAAGACAGCGGTACGGACAGCATCATCATCATTATAAGCATCAGGAAAGACAAAAAGCAGTGGTGACACCAGAGTATTGCTATTACAGCTGCCAGATTTTTCAACTTTGTTGTTCGCACTGCTATGTTTTAGTTTATTATTATGACCCATTCCTTATAGTTGTTATCTGTGCTTTAGTGCTTTATTGATTATTGTTTTCTCTATCTTTTTTTTTCTTTTTCTTGTATATTTTCAAAGTATTTAAAAAATGTCTGTGTCAAGACATCACAAAACAAAAACATATGAACGTGAACACAACACTTTTATTAAATTAACAAAACTTCATACTTCTAGTTTAAGAGAAGCACATTGACAAAACAAAAACCATGTAGTACAGGGACTTGACAAAGTCGACACACAAATAAAAATTATACTGACCAACCACTGGATTTCTCAAGCCTCCCATTTATACTCATTTAAAATGAAAGAAAATATTACTACAGTACAACAGACATAATCTCTGAGGTGGGACTCTTGTGGTCTAGAGGTACGGTGTTCGCCTCTTATTCTAAATCAACAAGACCCAGGTTTGAAACTTGACAGTGATGAAACATTTTCTCCTCCTTTCCATTTCTATAATCCTGTTCTGTCAACTGCTTTCATTTTCACTTTTTCTACCCCCACCCCCTTCCAGCATCTTGAACTCTCCTCTCTCCTTTATTCTTCACCCTTTCCATTTTCAGAAATGATATAGCCATTGGTCACTACTGCTGCTGCTGTCAGAAAGCCCAAAGCTTGACCTTCTAAGACAAAACAAAATAAATTTGTATTTCAACACATAAGAAAAAGAGAAATATCACACAAAGAAAATAATCATGAGCATTTTGAAGTAAAGTAACACATTTAGCTTTTCATTATAAAAGAGTAAGTATATTACACATGTTACACCTACAAAGACAAACTAATTAGCATGCGGCAGTATGAGGTATACAAAAAAGTCTATACACACCTGACTGAAAGACATATCTGGCAAGAGCCTGCATGAGGGCTGCAGGCCATGTGGGAGGATTTGACTCCCCAGGTTCTCTCTTTAACCTAAAGGTCAACTCAAAACCAAATCCACTGGGCCCATCGGAACATCCAAGCCTGAGAGAAACAATAGATATTAGACTTAACATATTCCGATTCATGCTGTGTTTTCAAAGCAAAAAACAAACAAACCATTGAGCCTACCTTTCATCTATCTTAGCAAAGCAAAAGGCAAAAGTTGTGCCAAGCTTTGTATGAATTTCATGCCCTACTAAGAGGGAGGCTCATGTAGTCTTGAGGTATAGTGTTTGCCTGCCCTCTCAGTCAAAAGGTCCCGGTATCAAAACCTGCCAGAGTCTTCCTTTCCTGTTCTCTAGTCTGTTGTGTCATCTGCTTTCATCTCCACTTTCCCCACCCCCATCATTTTCACCTTCAGCATCCTCTATGCTCCTCACTTCCTTATTCCTGCCCCTTTCTACTGCTACTCCTCTAGGTTCCCATTACTGCTGTCTTTCAGCCACACCCCTGACCTTACGGTAGGTATGATCAAACACAGAGCCGAGGGCTCTCATGGCCTAGGGGTTAAGGAGTTCACCTCTCACTCAAAGGTCCTGGGTTCAAATCCAGGTAGTGACAGAAAAATTTCCTTCTCTAAAATTGTCTCCTTTCACATCCTTTCCTGCTCTCTAGTAATGTTCTGTCATCTGCTTTCATCTCCACTTTCTGCCCCCAACCCCTCACCTCCTTTGCCCTTGCCTCTGGGCTCCTGACTCTTTCTGCAGCCTTTCTACTGCTTCTCCTTGGCTCCTTCTTACTACTATCTTTCAGCCACACCCCTGATCTTCTGGTAGAAAAGATCTACACTTAGCCTTCTCAAACAAGAGCGAAAAATCTCGAAGGTCCCTTATGCAAGCTGCGCACGTGAAAGATCCCAAGGTGGTCTAAAATTGATACGAGTAGGCTTCAGTCGCCACCCGAGCAAAATTCAAAACTTCCTACGAACTGAAAATGTTTACAGTGTCCTGCGCGCTCATATGACCTTAAACAGTTGTGAGCACCGTAAAACACTAACACCCCCCACATGTGTTCTCTCTCATACACACAGACTCTCTCTCTCTCTGAGTCTCTCTCTCCCCCCCCCAAAAAAAAACCCACCCAACCTTTTCGGATATGGGCAAAAAACCTGGAGATCCTGAGTGCAAGTTGCACATGTTAAAGATCCCTTGACAATATCCTACCAAAACTGATAATACCCTAGTCAGCGTAAAAAACAACAACAATAGACCAAGTTTCGAAAACATGTGGCTGCCTGAAGGCAAGGGGCCCTACAAAGTAGAAACAACGGCTACATTCATTTAATAAAATTAGTTACACTGTAGGTTGAAGATGCCCTCCAATACAATAATTTATTATTTCCGTCAGTAGCTGATTAATTTTTTAAACTGTCATTGTCAGTTGTGAGATAAATGTTTACTGTGAACTATTAAATTCTTTGCTAAGATAAATTTTCCATTTTCTCAGTCTACCCAAATTACAAGGAAACAGCAACTTACTCATAAAGTCTGCAGTCCCCATGTAAGTCTGACAGGCCAAAACTGATGTAATGCCAGTGTGGTGGTATGTTCCTATCTGGGTCCCCTGGGTTGGCATACATGCTAATGTAGTCCAGGGGGTCTGGACCACCTAGCCTGAAAAGGAGAAAAAGAAAGTATTAATAACAAAGAACAAGGAAAGCTCACAGCATGGGTAAAGCAAGGCAAGGTGATATATATATAGTAATCCAAAAGAGTTAAGGATTGAATAAAAGGGATTTTTAAAATCTTTCTCACATTCAGACCAAGCGTTACGCTGGAAATAACTGATGAGAAATAAATCTCAAGTTCCACTTAACAACAACAGTAAGAGACAGAATGATACCTTTTTTCCATTTTCTATTTGAAAAAAAAAAACCTTTTACAGAGTTGGATACTTTGCAACTGACACCATAAATATCGGAATCACAATTGAAAAATTCTGAACGGTACCGAAAGTGAAAATAGATCCTGATTTTCCTCGATCTAAGCTGGACAGTTCCACCTAACATTTTCTGTTATTCCTGTCAATTGTACTTTTGACTCTCACGGTAAAACCATTTTTTGATAATTGCACTGTAGGGACTAATATTTCAAGAGTTCCTTTTTTAAAAAATAAATTTCTGACGGGTTTCAAAAGGCAACTGC